GCCAAATGCCTATAGCTATAGCAGGATCAGTGAGGGTTGTAGACATGCTACATACACTGTGCATTGAAGATATTTGCACAAAGTTCATCCATAATTACTATGCTTAACACCTAATGTAAGAAGCAACATAAATGCCCAGATGATACGGCTCTCTGGTCAACATCACACAAATTTATTGACATACTTTGCAGGTACATATTTACATTCATAGCAAATAGGTACTTTCGATTTGATTCAAAAACTAGGTGCTAGTAGGAGCGTGCATTTTTGTAGGCACAACAATAACCATATATTAAATCATTAAAAAACCTTCTCGTGGCATTCATCACATACCTTTTTACCCAACAAGTACCTATCTAGGTACCATGCAATGATTCTAAATTTTGTCCGCAATCCACCTATATCTCAACTGACACATCAAAATTGAAATACCCTAACAAAACCTAGAACTGTACATAAGAAGAATGCAATACTACAAGAACTATGAAGTTCTGAAGTTGTTCTCACATGCCGGAATGTAGATACTCTACTTTTTGTTTTGTCATCCATTTCCACGTTTGATTGAGCCATCATATAACTGTTTTTGCTCTTCAGTCATGAGCTTTTATACAAATCTTGAATTTTTAAACATCATCTTGAACCATGCTCCAGTCTTTCCAACAAGGTACTATGGAACATCAAAACAATTTTGATTTGTTACAACAGCTTCAGATCATGATAGGCTTGAAGTTTGTTACACCATTTGCCAGACAAACCTCTACAAAATGTGTATCAATTCCCAAACTAAGCAATTGATTATATCATTATTTGCAGTTTCCACACAATGTTTCATAATATTATTCGATTTTTATAGCAAGAAACTCAAATAATCCACAAATTGTTATTGAAACACTCCCACTTCAAGAGCTCACAGCAATAACAATACAAGTTCAGAAGCAAACAAACATTGCGCCAGATTTCGTATGAAACGCGCCATCATCCCGAAGTTTCTACCACAGACTGTAGTTCAACCGCAGCCGTAGTGCGAAAACTGGCGAAAACCCCTGCCCACCTTACCCCACGGCGGAGCTCGGTTGCAATTTGTAAATACGCAAGCCACAGACCGGGCGGACGGACCGGGCGGGTCGGGCGGGCGGACGACCGGGCGGGTCGGGCGGGTCGGGCGGGCCGGGCGGGCTGGACGACCGGGCGGGCCGGGCCGCGTCGAGTCGGGTGGGCCCACCCGCCCACCCGAGGCTGAGTGACCTCGCCTGATTCAGACGAATATATAATTCATGACTTGTCCTCATTCGAAACCTCTCATAAACACGATTGTAACTACATATACGGGCATTTCGCCCAAAGAAAGCGATGCGTTTTGCGACTGACTCGCTCAGCCGACAATGGCACCACTCGAGGCCGTCTCTCGTTCGTCCCGTCCAACGGGTCGGCACCTCCCCACACGGTGACATGCGACAACAGGGGATGCTCCTGAGCCAGATATGTATCGCAGTGCGCGCCGGAAGGGATAACAACATAGCCGGCTCCCAAACATGGAAAATCACTGACACTATACCACGCTATTCACCCCACCGGGAATCAATTGGTGTGCAAAGGACAGCGCCGAGTTTCTCGCCACACCTCAGCACCCACTCAGGCAGCACTCGGTGCTGGGTCTGCCCCATCCTCGCGATGTGTCCGGAACACTGGGTGGCACGTGACACGTGACCTGGCCGTCCGAGGAGGGGAGGGGAGGGCCCCCCGTGCACCCGTGGCCACCCGCGCAGCCCACCGCTAGACGTCTGGCCATAGGCGGCGGAACGAGGGGGCACCGGGGCACCGGGCCCCCCTTTGATTTTGGCATTTTAACATTAGCCCTATGGGCGTTGCATGGAAAGAATGGAACCAAAAGTCGGCAGTGCCCCCCCCCCCCCCCCGCCCCTCCCTTAATTGAAGGTGTTCCGCCGCCACTACGTCTGGTGGCCGGTCCAGTCACCTGGATGGCCAGGAAGGAGAGGTCGTCTGCTCTCTGAGGGCGGCCAGAAGGTCGCGCCGCGGCAGCCCCGACAGGACGTATCGGACCGATCCAAGGTCGGTCACAGCGATACCGTCACCCCTCCGGCAGAAGGGAGAATCAGGGAGATGTACGACACCTAGCGAGTTCCGTCGGCACGCGCAGAGCTGCCACTTCAAGGGCTCTCCCATTTCCTGGCCGCCGAGGTAGAATAGGAATTTACACGGAAATCTCTGACGCCATAAGAGGACCTCCTCACGGTGACGGTCCTAGAATATCGCAACTGCACAAAGCTCCAGGAAATCCTTCGCAGGGAGATGAAACTTTAAAAAAGAAGCAAGCTCCCGAATCCCCGCAAGCTACGCCATATGCCTATATATGGTCAAACACGTGACCTCATCATTGTCAGTCATTTGAAATCCGAAAAAGTCACTTTGAGATTACATGGTACAGCCCTAATGGTGAATTTCGGGATACCAGGATACGCCGAAGTGCTGTCGTTTAAATACCGAAAATATTGACAAAACTCTAGGCCAGCAGGCTAGCAGCAGTCACATCAAGGACCTGCCCTGCGGCCAAGGGCATGTTACTGTCTCTGTCTCTCAGGCGCGGATACAAGGGGGGGGGGGCCATGGGGGCCATGGCCCCCCCCCCTTGGCCGATTTTTTTTTCAAAAATAAAATAAAAAGTTAAAAAGTTAAAAAGCTGAAAAGGGGGCCTCCTGAAAATAAAGTGGCCGAAATCCGATGAGTTTTTTTAACCTACCCACTTAGTTATTTCTTAGAAGACTAGCTGAGAAGACTTCTTTGTTAGAAGATTGGTAAAGCTTTTCATAACTTGGAGGTCTCTTATACTCACAGAGATGACCACTTTTACAGGGCCTCCTAGCCTGCACAGAGGGCCTCCAAGCCTGCACAGACGTTGAGATGTTGCCTGAACAGCTAGATAAGCTCAATAGACGCAGTTTTTTTTTGAGGGGGGGGGGCCAACAAGTGGGAAGATGGGGCCTCCAACAGGTGGGATTATGGGGGGGCCTCCTGGTTTCTAATGGCCCCTCCCTTGGAGATTTTCTGGATCCGCCCCTGCTGTCTCTCCCCACTCTCAACACCAAAACTTGTGAACCTCCACAGGGCCACAGGTTGTGGGGTCCTGCCCGTTGTTTTGGTCGATTCTCATCGAGGCTCGAAAAACCCAGCCCGGCTTTTTGCAGTCCCATACCGGTCCTGAGGGCCTCGCGCCCGGCACCGGTGTACCACAGCCAGTATTATCCTTTGAAGGGCTGAACCGGGCTGAAGGCCCTGTGCTGACTTTTTGGGGTGGCACTGACCTCTAAAATCCCCATTTCGGTCTTTTATAGGGCCCCAGACTGGTCCCCTCAGAGTCAGTTGACACCAGTTCACCTCATCTGAGACCCTCAGTTGACTCAAACCAAACTGCATCCTCTTCATGGTATCTGCATCGGCATTTTTGAGCCCCACTCGAACCGCATGGGTCCCACGCAGGTCTCTCAGCGCCCATATCGGTCTCTGAGGAGCCCATCTGGCCGCTGAGGTCCCCGCGACCGCCTCAGTCGTGACTGTTAACGGCCTATGAAGGCTCACATACTGGTCAGTGAATGTGGGACCAGATGTCCGCCTCTGAGGGCCCACACTGGCTTCTGAGTGTCCCATTCGGTTCCTCGTAAGGCCTATTTAAAACAAGGTGAAGGTTCTATGCAGCTCAAAGACCCATGCGCAAGACTGGCGTAAATTCCATAAACGGGAGGGGGCGAGTTTGCAGACTGCAAGTTTCCTACGTTAGAAACTGTTGAAACCGATGGAACTCCGAACTGTTAAAAACCGAAACCGATTTAAAAAATCAGAGAGCATGCGATAGCCCCAGACTAGACGGCAAACAAAGTCCAATTTTATTGACCTCGAGGTCACCGAAAAAGTCACAGGTCAGTCTAAGTAGAAACTATCGGCATTTAGGCATGCTCATTGCTCACGGATCCGGATACGATTTGATGATGCGGTCAGTATGGAGACAATGGGCCGAGTCGCCCTACCAGTGAGGTGCCGCAGTGGCTGAGGGTATCCAGTCAACACGGGAGGGTCCCGGGGGGGTAGGCCACGGCCCTGTCACTCCAGAGCACCTTCCGATGGGAGTCCAGTTACGCTGGGGCGACCGGCACTCGGCAGCCCAGACAGTGCATACCGATCGTGTATGGTCGGATTTCTGAACTCGGATTATTGATAACTGGGGATCCAGAGAACGGGGACAATGACAATCACATGACCATTTAGCTCGGATAACCTACAATAACCAATGGCTGCAATTTTCAAACTGTGTCCTATTCTTTGCCACGATGTGTCCCGCATCCCGCAATAGTCGCTTCGAGGTATCCGTAAAAATCCACGAATCATGACGCAGACGTGGACAATAAAAGTCATGCAATGTAGATACAGATTACAGCATTCAATGAAAAAGAAGCTATAAATCCTGAATAAGGCTCGAGTACATACTGAACATAAAATATAGGCAAAATATCAAACGATTATTGTACATGAACGGCACGAAATATTAGTTCTTGGCTGTATATCCGAATAAATATTGTCCTACCAACGTGTCTGAGATGCCGATCGACTCACGTATGAAGACTGTTACGCCGCTAGTATCCGCGGCTGAGTTCGTTCCAGCTTCCGGGTCCGCGATCTCGGTCCGCGATCTCACACACTAGCGTTCTGAATAACGTAGTCCTGTATTGGTGATCGGTATCCGGCGGGGGCCGCTGCCCGACTGCTGCACGGCCGCACCGTGCCCACGAGCGCAACGAGCTCAGCGCCACCTAGTCTACTGCACAAAGTTCAGAGGGCAAGGGCTACGTCGCCACACACTACCCCCCTCAACAGGAATGACAGTCGTGGCGAAGCAGACAACACAAAAACTGGCCGAAATAAGACTAAACATCCGTCTAAAACTATTTCAAAGCAAAACCAGTCGCTTCGAACACGACTTTGTGTCGCCGTCACATTTCGGCTATGAGGCGACGCGGCTGCTTCCGCTGCCTGACGGAAACACGCTGAGCGATGCCTCCAGTTGCTGATCCAGCTCCTGTTCCTGTCGCCGATGAGGTCGCACCGCCACCTCTGCTGACCTCCTCGGCACCAGCGTCGCCGCCTGCAGCTACCTGCGCTTCCTCGGAGCTGCCACTGGTAGCGGTAGCAGGTGCTGTCACAGCATCATTGCCCGTCGCCCCCGGCCTGTCTTTGGCCGGTGACCTGACCGTCGTTTCCGACCCGCCGGTCACACCTGACCCGACGATGACCCCCGGTCTGATGATCACCGGTGGTTCGCCAATCCCTGTGGGGGCCACCGGAACCTGTCCGTTACGGTTCGGTGCTGCCACCGTCGGCTGCCGGCTGATTTCCTCCACGCCATCGGACGCTGCAGCAGCCTGTTGGGTGCCCGCCAGACGCAGCTGGTCGGCGTGCCGCGACCAGATCGCGCTCCCCACGTCCACTTCGAACGACAGCGGGCCCGTTCGGGCGGTGATGACGCCCCGCCGCCACTTGGACGGTCCACCGTAGGCCCGTGTCCAGACGTGGTCTCCGATCGAGAACTGCCTGTTGTGACCTGGCCTACCGGCCTGCCACTGGCGAAGTTTTTCCTCGCGCTGCCGCACATGCACATCCGGCTTTAGGAGGTCCAGGTTGGTTCGCACGTTCCGTCCCAACATCATTTCCGCTGGAGACCTCCCCGTGGTCGCGTGTGGCGCCACCCGGTATGCCAGCAAGAACCGCTGGAGGCGCTGAGAAAGCGTTCCTCCGTCATTGAGTGCAGCTTTCAAGCCATTCTTTACGGTTTGAACTGCGCGCTCCGCCGCCCCGTTGCTACTTGGATGCCACGGCGCTGTCCTGATGTGCCGAATCCCATTCGAGTTCAGGAACTGGGAGAACGCAGTGGCGGTCAGCTGGGGTCCATTGTCGCTGACCACCTGGACCGGCAATCCAAACCTGGCGAACATTTCGCGCAGAACACGCACCGTGCTTTCCGTGCTGGTCTCACGCATCGGCACTGCCTCCACCCAGCGCGAGTAGCTGTCATACACTATCAGAAAGAAAGAGCCCTGGAAGGGTCCAGCGAAGTCGATGTGAACCCTGAACCAGCAGCTGTCCGTCGGTTCCCAAGGGTGAAGTTCAGCACGCGGTGGTGCCCCGCGCTTTTCCATGCAAGCCGCGCAGTCACGCGCCAGGGCCTCCAGCTCGGCGTCCATACCAGGCCACCATACGTATCGGCGCGCCACACCTTTCATTTTGGCGCTGCCCAGGTGACCTTGGTGCAGCTCTGCCAGCACCTGTTGCCGAAGGCAGTGGGGAACCACCGTCCTGCCACCCCAGAGCAGACATCCCAGGTCCGTGGAGAGCTCATCCCGCCTCTGACGGAACGGGGCCAGCTCCTGCTCCACCTGTCCGGGCCACCCACTGTGCACGTACGTCAGGACGCGCGACAGTACCCGATCGCGGCGTGTCGCCGCCGCGAGTTGTGTGGCCGTCAGAACCGAAGCTACTCCGTCCATGAACAGCAGATACGAGCCGCCGCTGGTGTCGTCCTCAGCGTCCGCTGGCTCGACCTCTCCGCCTGGCACTGCCATACGAGACAGACTGTCCGCCAGGTGCATGTCTTCTGATGGACGTAGCTCCACATCATAGGTGAAAGCCGCGAGCTGCAGCGCATACCGCTGGAGCCTGGCCGCCGCCAGCGTTGGCAGCTCGCGCTCCGGACTCAAGATGCGCGACAGCGCCCTGTTGTCCGTGACCAGGGTCCACCTCCGGCCGTAGAGAAACTGACCGAAACGCTTGACGGCGAAAGACACCGCCAGCGCCTCCTTCTCTACCATCGGATACTTCCTCTCCGTTTTTGTGAGTGTCCGAGAGGCGTACATCACCGGACGCTCCAGTCCTTCCTCGTCAGGCTGCAGAAGCACGGCTCCCACGCCGACTTCACTGCTATCTGTGACGAGCTTGAGCGGCGCCTCTGCATCGTACCGCTTTAGGACTGTGTCCCCTGCCAGCAGTTTTCGCACTCTGACCAGTGCGTTTTTGTGCACATTAGTCCATTTCCACGTGGCGCCCTTCTGTAAGAGATCGTACAGCGGCGCTAGTTCCGTGGAGAGGTTGGGAAGCACCCGCTGGTAGTAGTTGATGCTCCCCAAGATGCTGCGCAGACTTTTCACATCCTTAGGGTCCGGCATGTCGATCACTGCGTCAACTTTCTCCTGTACTGGACGCAGCCCCTGTGCTGAGATGCGCCAGCCGAGGTACTGCACCTCGTCAAGTCCAAGTTGACACTTCTCCCGTTTCAGCTTCACTCCATGAGCTTCCAGCCGAGTTAGCACTTCATCCAAGCGCTCGCACAGGTCCGTCATGTTCGCCGCCGTCACCAGCAGATCGTCTTGATAGGCCACACACCCGTCTAAGCCATCCAGGATGTGATCGATTGCTGCCTGAAACACCGAACTGCACGCCGATATGCCGAACGGTAGAGATTTCATCCGATACCGTCCTCGGTGCGTGACGACTGTTGTCATATCTCGCGATTCCTCCGCGAGCTCCAGCTGCAGGAAGGCGTCTTTCAGGTCCAGTTTGCAGAACCGCCGTCCTCGGACGCTCGCAAAGATGTCCTCGGCGGATGGCGTAGGATGCGTCGCCATTTGCAGCTGCGGGTTTACCGTCAGTCGATAATCACCGCACAGACGCACACCGCCATCAGCCCGTGGCACCGTCACCAGTGGTGTTCCCCAGCCGGGCGCGTCGTTTGGACCGACTTTTTCCGCGATCCCGGCCTGCACCCAGCGGTCGAGCTCCTGCTCGACGGCCGGTTTCAGTGCATATGGAGGCGAGCGCACCGGCCGTGACACCGGCCGTGCATCCGGTTTCAGTGTCAGGTGCGCCTTTACTCCACTGATGCGCCCCGGTGTGCCGTCAAACACCGACTTGTGCCTGTTACAGACCGCCTCCAGATCCGCCGTCCCTCGGTCCGGAGTGACGTCCATCACCGCCGTCTCTCCGCCGCCCACACTGATGTCCAGAGCCCGCAGCCAGTCGCGGCCTAGCAGACGGCGATCGCCAGGCAGGTCCACCACGACCAGTCGCAGTCGATGGTCCCGACCGCGAAACCTTACAGAGACGTCTGCCTCACCCCGGAGAGGGATCCGGTGACCAGTGAATGACGACAACTGCAGTTCAGAAGGTTTCAGTCGCAGCCGCGGGATGACCGTGTCCCGCCCCACAGCAGTGATTGGGCTGCCGGTGTCCACCACCATTTTGATGGCCACCCCGTTCACCGGTAAAGTCATTTTAACCGCCTCCGTTAGGTTAACGGCGTTTATCTGCCCCAGCCCCCACATGTCCGCCGTGGCAGGCTGCTGTCGGCATTGACTGCGCAGATGTCCGATCTGCTTGCAGCGGTAGCACCGCCGCGTCTCCGGTGCCGGTCTGACCCCGTCGGACCCACGAGTGTCAGATTCCCGGCGCCCCGGCCCCGTCGGCCGCCGTGACGCTGGTGCCGCACGCGCTGACTCATCCGGGCGTCGGCTGTCCTGACAGTCCCGCTGAAAATGTCCTGCCGCACCGCAGCGGTAGCAGCGGACCGTGCGCCGCTGGCGGTTCCGGTTACCGTCAGCCGTGCGCTGTTGCCGGACAGCGTTCAGCTGATCCGGTCCCGAGGTCACCACATCGACCTCTGGCCGCTCGTCCAATGCGGTGGTTGACCGTCCGACGCCGTCCGTGCTCAGAGACGCATTACGGAACTGCGTCACTAGCATTTGCGTTTGCTCGTATGCACGAGCCGTAGCCTGGAGATCTTGCAGTGAAAAGTTATCTCCTTTGGTTCCGACCGTCTGCAACAGTCGCTCCTGAATTTGCGGAGTCGCGCCGGCCACGCTCCTGTCCCGGAGCTCACGGTCGAGGTCAGCCGCCGGGAACCCGCACCGCCCAGCCACCGCCCGCAAACGAGCCAGGTACGCGTCGAATGACTCGCCGGCGTACATGCTCGTGCGGTGGAACGTTACACGTTCCGCCATAAGGTTAGACGTCGGCTGCAGATATTGGCGTAGTTTAGCCACAGCGGTGTCGTATTGTGACGTTGCAGCCGTTGCAGCCGGCTCCGGCAGGGTGTCGAACACGTCCTGGATGTCCGGCCCCATTAGATGGAGCAGGACTGCAGTCCGCCGCCGGTCGTCTGTTATGTCCATCGCCTCGGCGTAGAATTCCAGACCCTTCAGCCACCGGCTAAAGTCCATCCCCTTTGCAAAAGGAGCCACGCTCGGCAGTCCGGCCGCCATGTTTGCCACCGCCCCGAGGCTGCACCGGGGTCAGGCACTGCACACTGCACTGACCGCGCTGACTCACCAGTCACGCCACACCGAGCAGAGTCCAAAGTTCAGAGTCCAGCGGCCGCCGTCGCCGCCCGCACCACTGTTCACCCAACACGGAGGTGCAATACAAATGTTCCCAACAACGATACAGCGAAACGCAGCGGCAGAGCTTACAGCGTTAATGCACAAAATTATGCAGCAGTATAAAAAAAAATACTAAGCACTAAGCAGAACTAAGCACTAAGCAATATCACCCGGCCCGACGCTATCACTTCACCGTGATGTATATCCGCGCCGACCGCCGCGCACTGCACCATCCAGCACGCCAAAGGAGTTTGTCCGAGTCCCGACGCTGTCACTTCCCAGTGACGTATATCCGCGTCGGCCACCGGTGCCGCACCACCAGAACGCCAAATCCGTGAGAACGCCACTTTTCCTTCCGAGATCACCACTAAGCGGATCTCGTCCTCGTCGCCAAGTTGTTACGCCGCTAGTATCCGCGGCTGAGTTCGTTCCAGCTTCCGGGTCCGCGATCTCGGTCCGCGATCTCACACACTAGCGTTCTGAATAACGTAGTCCTGTATTGGTGATCGGTATCCGGCGGGGGCCGCTGCCCGACTGCTGCACGGCCGCACCGTGCCCACGAGCGCAACGAGCTCAGCGCCACCTAGTCTACTGCACAAAGTTCAGAGGGCAAAGGGCTACGTCGCCACAAAGACGTACCTGATCTGGTCTCTGGACGGCGTCTCGGACCGCCCGACCCCGCCGGCGACCCGCCACCGACGCTGCCGCCCGACCCGTCACCGCCAGCCACCGCGCCGTCCGCCTGCGGCCTGGCCCGCTGCCACGCGCCGGCAGCTATCGACGACCGACCGCACTGCCATCTGACGGACAGTGCCGACACTCGCAGTTCCCGTGACCGACGTCAGTGCCGCTGCATCCGACTTCGATTATGTTTTTACGGCTCCGGGAAGTTCAAGAAAAGTCAGGTCTGCCTGAGAGGTCATTAGTAACAGCTCTCTGGGACAACACAAAATTCGCGTATCCTCCAAAAACGCTGATGAACTTCGTCAGCAGACATCTGAAGAGCCTCGGGCTATTAATAACTCCTGAATAGAGCCTGTCGTCTCGGCTCCCGGTCTCTGAGTTCGATGATTCGCCGCGGGCGGTTCCCGGTTCCCGATCGGTCCCCCACTCCGCGTCTAGCACCGCTGTGCTGCGGGAAGCTGAGATACCGGGGCAGTTTATTAGTCCTGCTGATGCAGCGTCTGGAAACCATGGCAACCTGCACCCTGTGACCGCCGTGGAATAGCTTAACTATCTTTAGGTATGTATCGTCTTAGTATTAGTAATGACCTAGCCCAGGGATATTTGTGCTTAGGTATATGAAGTAGGAAATCATACATGCATGCAGCATATATCAATATGTAATACATGTCTACTGCATATGTTATGTAATATGTATGCACGCACAGTTCACTTCTAAACATGGCTGCGGAATCGGAGTCGGAGTCAGTCAGGGTCTATTTTGGAAATCGGAGTCGGAGTCGGAGTGACCGAAAGGCTATCCACTCCAGACCAGCAGACCTGCAGACCTGCAGAGTCGGAGTCGATAGTTCTACTCTGAGTCGGAGCCAGGGTTGATTTTTGGAAGCCGTAATTGGAGTTACCGAAAATCCATCAGCCCTGGTTCTGAAACTGTCCGACGGTTCATAAGTCTCGGCTACACCAAACAGCTTCCAACACGGAGTCCGGAGGTGACCTGCCACCTGACCACGGGGCGAGAGCCGAGGCAGGGCAGCGCTCGCAGCAGAGGCGTAACTCCAGAGGCACACGCCTCACCAAGTCGGAGCAATAGGACTCGTGATCAACTTCAACTAACCATTCGCGGCACAAGAGTGGGCAAAAACGCAAGACACTTATAAATATGTATATTGCAACAAGCACAGCCGCCTTGAAAATGGACGGAAAAGTACGTATCAAGAGTGACCCGTATAAATGTGAAACAATGGCAGAGCAACGTACAGAATATATAGAACGTTAATGCGATAAATAACATCACGTACGGCCCAGGGGCGGCCCAAAGCGCACAGGGCTGGCTTCGCGGCCCGACCCACACGGGAAAAGCAGCCCTCCCCGAAACAAATTGTACGCAAGTAACAACGATCAGCCTCTTCGATAGGTGAGCCTCACTGTTACCGAGCACATCAGCCGGTCTGCTCCGGGACGGATCAATATGTGTCCGCGGCGCTCAGCCGCCGGCCGTGTCAACGGAAACCTGTCCCGTGTCCCCGTCCCCTACCCGCCGGACAGGGGACATCGTCTGTTTGATCCACATGGCGTGACGTCATACAGGTGACGTCACACCTGGTCAGGAGTCACCGGCCGTGGGAAGTCCTCCAGTCGTCCTACAGTCGTTGTACGTCCACACACATTTCCAGTCAGGTACGTCGGACGGAACATGGTAGAGCTCCGCTGCCGCTTTTGGCACTAGATACGCAACCAGCGGGTAGCTACGGCACAACTCCGTGCTGGCTCATCCGGTCGCAATATTGCACTGGGGAGGAAGGACGCGACTGAGAGCCGCTGTGGGAGCAGTGAAAGCAGTCGTCTGCCGTCACAAAATCACCCGAGTCCAGGAGTGATCTGAACTTGCGATCCACACCCACATCGGACCCGGACAATCAGGTCACTGGAGTCAAGGTCAGGTCACCAGGTCACCGCAGTCTACCCAGGGTCAGGCCACGGATCACTGCGGCCCGAGGGTCAGGTCACATGGCCGCCCGTGTCCGGTCGCGAGGTCATCGCGGCCCGTGCCAGGTCACGCGAAGTTATCGCGGCCCGGTGCCGTGGATCAGCCGGAAGGCCATCTCCAGCATGTTGGGCGGTGTGGAGCCGGGCACACAGACGAACAGCAGCCGCTGCGCCGGCGCTGCCATCTGCCGGCTGGAGCGGGAAACAGCCGTCAGCGGCGCACACGCCGGACTCACAAACAGCGGCGCCGCAAACAATGGCCGATCGGCCCGCGAATGCACAGCACATACCGGACAGAGACAATGGCCAGAGCGCGCCGCATCCCGGCGTGGCCCGGCATAAACACCGGGCAGACGGCGGAATGAGGTGGACACTGGCCGAGACACGGGTCGCGGGCTGCCCGGCGGTGGCCGCATACCAAACAGCCGGGGGCCGTGCAGGTGTCAAGGTGACCGCGCGACGGGGCGATCATACCAACGCTTCACCCCGACCCTGACACTGAATAATGAACGCGTGGGCCATCGGGAACGGGTGGCGACATACCGCTGCAACCAGGGATGCGGAGCCGTGGAAATTTCAGACGGCTCCGGCTCCGGCTCCGGCTCCGGAGAAAAAAATCGGCTCCGGCTCCGGCTCCGGCTCCGGGTGAAATGTTATGGCGGCTCCGGCTCCGGCTCCGGCTCCGAGTAAAATGGTCCGGCTCCGGCGGCTCCGGCTCCGGCGGCTCCGGCTCCGACTCAGTACATCCCCTACGCAATCAATTAAATACGGGTGGAAGAAAAATTGGATTGGTTATACGCGTTACTCTTTGCCATGACCGGCTCACCGCGTCCCCGCGCAAACGCACCTCGGAGAGAACTGGCAGAACAAAGGGCTAGGAAGCGATGGCATTCGGGAAACGCAGTCGCCGCGAATCGGAGTTCAGTGAACCATCGTAAACTGACACCCGTCTCGGCTGCATTGGGGGATGAGGGGTGGGGGGTGTGTGGGATGAGACGGTGCTGGGAGTCGCAGTCCACTGCACTGCACAGTGGGGATTTTTCCGATCTAGCGCCTATTAATTCAAAAAATATGTTTTGGATTTTTGTTTATTTTTTGTGTCAGTAGGGCTAAGAAATGTCTGAATTTTTCATATATGGCATTGTTTTATCTGTATGTCCACAGCAAAACTAGGAAAAATGCGCCCAAAGTTCACACTCATGCGTGATTACTCAATGGGCTCAGCAAGGCCCGAAAGTATAGCTCAATTTCATTGTCCTGTCCTGTTGGTTTTAATCTTGCGAGGTCTTAAAGTTGCATATCGTCTGAAAGGCACCTTTATTAGGAATGGAATGGCAAACAGAAAGTATGCCACAACCTTACTAAGGTCACAAAAAATGCCCTTTACAAAAAACCCTTACAGACACCATATTGAAGGAATGGTATTCTAAATAAATGTAGGAAATCAACAATGTTCTCCACACTTTTCCACTCCGAAATATATCCTATCGAATTCGCCACTTTCTTCTGCACAAGACAACGCCTAGTTTGGCTGCCGAAACTTGCCTGAACACGGAATATTCACATTAGAGTATCTTAACACCCCACTCGAGGAGCGCTAGGGCAAACAGCACGATATAGGTATGTTCCGGACATAGGCGAATAATTTTACTTCGTGATTTATATGATGCATATTTTCTGAGACACATTCATTAGGAATAGGATGACAAGCGTAAATTATACATACCGTAACCTTATTAACCATCGCACTTGTGGGGAGGGGGAGGGGGAAGGGGTCGGATAAAACCCCATGGTTTTCCGCAAATTACTCGCGCAAAAAGCGGCCGATCGCGCCGAAACTTTCGGTACCCTCGAGATCATCAATTTTACATCTAACCTAAAAATTTCATGACTCTGACCCAACTGACCTTTGACCTGTGGCATATTTCTCGAGACCATGTTTGGCCGGAATCGCGATTCGGCGTATGCCAGCTCACATTATCCGCGGTTTCCAGTCTTTTTGTGGTTTTAAACGTTCAAATATGTGAAATGATGTTGGTGCCATGCATAATGGTGGGAGTCAAGGTCACGTGAAGGTCAAATCAAGGTCATTGACCTTTTGATGACCTTGGTTCACTTTTTCGAGTTTTACTTGTTTCTAGGGTAGTTTTTGGTGCTGATTTCGATTTTAGCAGCCATTTGAATATTTACGAAGTAGTTCTAGTGCCTTCGTTCCATGTTACGAAGCTATCAGTAGTAGGTGACACTTCTATGGATGGCCGGCAGGACGCCTACTAATTGATCTAACGTGACCTGACCCGACCTGGCCTAAATGCATAAAGACATCGTCTGTGATCAAAACTAACATGAAATTCGTGATCAGCACCCCAAAATACCCCGTAACACCCTAACTTTGCGAAGTTTCAAGAGGTCTCGATTTCCCAACTTTAGTTGGGTCATTAAACTGACTTGGAAAGTCAGCTTATGACCTTGGACTTTGAAATTGGATATATTCGGCCTAATTTCGTCATAGGCAGCACGCTTGACTTTTCCGCGAAGCTCTAGCTTGATCAGGGGCCAAACGGCTGAGCGGGGGTCCAATTGAACCCCCCTATACTATGTTGATTATGCACATTTACAGGTAAAATTCTCACCAGGACACACCAGCCAACATCTCTGCACAATCTGGCTACAATTCTACCTATGGTTTGCCCTCTACGAATAAATACGTGCTAGATCGGAAAAATCCCCACTGTGCACTGGTTTGAAAACAATGGCCGTCACCTGATGACTGGTCCTCATGTTCTGGGGATGCAGTAGACGTGGGGGGGGGGGGAAGAGCAAACAGGAAGTTGTTTGCGTACTGTGGGATACTGGGGATATTCGGATTTTTTCATTCACTTGATGGCCCATGACGTAAGTACCATATGTTTTACTGCCTTGTACTGTCAAACCGAACTAGGTCAATTATTTTTTTCCTCTTCAAAAAATAAAAAGGAGCCGGAGTCGCCCCCTTTTTTGGCGGCTCCGGCTCCGGCTCCGGCTCCGGGCTATATTGTTTCACGGCTCCGGCTCCGGCTCCGCCTCCGGGCAAAATATGCCGGCTCCGGCGGCTCCGGCTCCGACTCCGGCTCCGGCTCCGCATCCCTGGCTGCAACACTTAGCTCGGATCATGTGTACATACTCTGTGCATCTCGGATCAGGGATGTGACCCACTCAAACTACTCTGTTACTCGGGTTAGCGCTGCACTTAGGGAAACTCACCCCACTACCCAGATCTGTCCCGTGGGTTAGCGCTGTCGTGAACTCACCCGACCACCCAGAAGGTCTGTCCCTCCTGGCCATCCAGGGTGAACAGCGTGCCGACCTCGTGCGGCCTGCCGGCGGCCGGGCCGCCAGAGAAGCCGCCCGTCACCTGCAGCGGAGAGACACAGGCGTTAGAGGCGGGTCACGTACCGATAGCGACGCTGTAGTTTATCACAAAACCCTGTTCAGGAAGTCAGACCCCCACTGATATCGAATGCCAAACCAGTCGGCTCTGCTCGCCTTGTGAGTGCCCTGGAACACAGCAATCTTTCTCACATTATTCATACGACCGCAACCAGTTAAAATGCAGTGTCCTCTACAGAACAGTGTTATCAAACGACAACCTGATAATGATCCTACCCGGTTCATAACTTTAGCACAGTCATCCCCTCCCCTTCTCCCGTAATGGTGGGGCCATCCCTCCCTCCGTACCGACGTGCCCGTCCTTCCCTCCCTACAGGCGGCGCTGCCTCTCCCGTCCCCACCGCCCTCCTCTCCCCTGCGTACCGGCGGTCGTTGCGCCAGCAGTGGCAGCAGTCGGGCCACGGCGCGCCCGAAGGCAGCCACCAGCTCCGGCCGCAGCCAGGCGGCCAGCAGCGGCTCCGGCAGCGCCAGGTAGGTGGCCGCCGGTACGTCCAGCAGCACGTGCTGCAGCGCCACAGAGAACGAGTCGGCCACCACCCTGGCGGAGAGACGGGCACCGGACAGCTTGCTCAGTGCTTCAGTCGTAACAGAGCATATTCGCGAGCGTGTCATCCTGCATTGGCTGGGCTGTCAATAGCCGTCTACCTCGTATTGGTTTGAGAGGGAAAGGGGATGAGAAATATCTCCCCGTGCAAATTTTGAACAAACGGTTGTAGATTGACGAGAAAAACGATAACAAAAGACCTCCAGGATAGTATTTCCAGAGAGCACAACAAATACTAAGCAGGTGACAGGTTAGGCATTAAGGTAAAATAAAGTCTTAGGTCGAATTTACGAAGCATCAACATTATTTGTTCCAGACAAGGGAGAGTTGTTTGGCAAAGACCGGCGACAGCGAGCCTGTAGGTACGCAAAACGAGGGTCTACAATTTTGTGAATAAGAATGGTGGTTTAATGACGTCACAAAACCGCCCACACACCGAGCTGTCGTCTGTTACGGCATCACTGAACTAACGTCATCGGTTTGGCAATAGTCGGTGAATAGAAACGAGCTCGCCGCAATCAATCGCCGCATTATTCCCCTTATTTGACGTAAGTTATCCCTGCTCCGGCGTTAACTACTGAGGCAGGCGCGGACCGCGGACAAATCCTGACAGATGTGAGACGATCGATCACTGCTGCAGTTCAGCGGGCGCGGCCACCTCTCCGCTCAGAGACGGGGGAGTGTACGCACCTCCTGGAGTCCTCCAGGGCCTGGCCCATGTATATCTTCTTGTTCTCCATCAGATCGTACTGGTTCGGCAGCAACCGACTCTTCGGAGGTCCCTGGAAAACAAACAATTAATGATGAGTTGAGAGGGCGGTGTGAGAAATCAACCTTGCAGCTGCTTAGGATAGCGTGAGCAGTTAGTGTATTGTTTGTACAGCTGTTAGTGTATCAATTAAGGCTAAGTGTTCACATTTGCACCTGCTAAACTAGCATAAAACAGCAGCTGCCTTCTTTGGGCAGGTGCATGGTGAGAAAAGGGCTTGTAAAACGCCGCGTTATAGTTGAAAAGTGTCCTTTCAGTTGGTAATGAGTAGACAAGCAGCCAGATTGGACCATTCCCTAGTGCATAAGCGCATAGCGAACACCACACACCCGTACCCCTTACCCTGTAGATTTCCCACGTGTCGGCCACGTGTCCCTGTCACCCCTTACCCTGTAGATTTCCCACGTGTCGGCCACGTGTCCCTGTCACCCCTTATCCTGTAGATTTCCCACGTGTCGGCCACGTTACCCCTTACCCTGTAGACTTCCCACGTGTCGGCCACGTGTTCCTGTCACCCCTTACCCTGTAGATTTCCCACGTGTCGGCCACGTGTCCCTGTCACCCCTTACCCTGTAGATTTCCCACGTGTCGGCCACGTTACCCCTTACCCTGTAGACTTCCCACGTGTCGGTCGCGTGTCCCCACACCCCTTACCCTGTAGAGTTCCCACGTGTCGGCCACGTGTTCCTGTCACCCCTTACCCTGTAGATTTCCCACGTGTCGGCCGCAGAGTCGTCGGTCGAACTGTCCCCGTCGTCTGACGCCGAGTGCCTGCCAACAAAACAACGCCGTCACCGACCGCCGGCCAAGTTCGGCGCTCCGCCAGAGTAGGGGAACAAGTTGTGTTACCACTTAAACTTCTCTCACCGCGCTACATTTCCACTCCGTCTCACGATACAGACATATGCCAGACGTCGGTGCACCATCCGTGCTATTTCACCGGTGCCATCCGGTCTAGCCGATACCGACAGACGGATTTCAATCCAAGTTGCCAGGCCTGTGTCTGCTCGGTATGCCCTAATTCACAACAGCGGGAAAAGTTGGGACCGAGTTTGAGACGTGTTCGCTGGGGCACTGAATGCGCCCGGAATAACGGCAGATGAAATACTGATCTAACTGGCACTGCACGGAAATGACGACTATTGGGAGGGACATAACTTCGCTGGGAAGTCATCCAAGACGACGACGACGAGGGTTTCTGAGCGGTCTTAATGGGCTAGTCAATGTCGCCAAAGGTATCACTTCTTAAATATTTACGTGGTACAATGTGGTGCGGATCTTGGCCTTAGTATAAATCTTGTGGTCCTAACAAAGTTGTCTATGCCTGACTGGGCTAGTCACTTAAAATGTGATGGAAAGCTAATAATTAAGACACCTATCACACGAGGGCTAACTAACTACATAGTCTGTAATACTGACGGCTGGTGTCGGGCCGGTGCGGCGCCCGTCTCTGACGCGGAGGCGGGACTGTCGGCCGGCTCCTGTCGCCAGGAGGCGCTGCCGCTGCCGCTGCCGCCGCGGCCGCCGGTCCCGCTGCCTGAGGCGCTCCCGCCGCCGCCACTGCGTGTGTCCTCCAGGGAACTGGGACCTGGTGGCGGCCGACACACAAAATGTCACCAGTCTGAATGTCAGAACGGATAAACTGATCCTAGCAACCATGCCAGCCATGAAACAGCCTTATAATAACAAACCACACGATACCAACCAAATGAGCTATGAACCAATCACGCACCTGCCCTAGAACAGATCACCTGACGGTTCATCGTCTCTCCGAAGGCGTCAAACTCCACCCGCGGCGTCCCCCTACCGTCCCATCCACTGGCAGACTCTTCGGTACTGCTATGGGACTAGCGACTGTCCCCTTGCTAACCCCTAACCCCGGCGTCTCCTTACCGTCTGCTCCTTTGAAGGACTGCTCGGCGCTGCTACGGGACCGGCGGCTGTCAGTTCGGCGCGCGGCCACCAGGCGGCTCCACCAGCGCGTCTCCAGCAGCGTGTCTGAGGACAGAGCACCACACCGAGTAGAGAGACATCACCTTTTGGCGCATTGGAGCAATAACAACTATCGAGCGGCGCATCGCAGATACACAGGCGCACCCTGCCATGCCGACACAAAGTTTCGCTCGGCACAAAGTTTTCCAGGCGCATACTGACGCAAAGCGCCAATCAGTATTGAGCGGCAGGCGGTCTGACCAGTGACGGCTGCGTCCAGTTGCGCTATCGTTCAACTAAAGCTCGGCCGTGGTTCGGACTAGGCCAAAACTGACCAAAGGTCACAGTAATAAAAGAGTGCATAACGTTAACGTTAACCTTAGTCCTTTGTCCGTTTATTTAGTTTATTTCGGTGGTTTAGCTTGGTCTTCTACGACCAACAGTACATACTGAATTTCCCATTGGAAATGCAAGCAGCTCCATATCACCATTATCATGAAATATATGGCCGTATAAAAGCAACAGCTAGGAGCTCCCAAGTTCAAGACAAATGTTGACAATGCAGGACCGGCGATAATGTCGAATTGCCTTGGAATAACCAGCAAATATTGGTATAATATTGGTATTGGTATATAAATATATGGTATAAACTAACTGAAATCGCATACTCCCTGTAACACATGTTACAGGGAGTATGCGATTTCAGTTAGTTTGCAACGACCCAGTGGCGGTTCGCCCATTAAGGCAACTCAGGCAGTGCCTAACCAGAATTTTCTGGGTTAGATTTCTGCTTTTTTGTTTTTTGTTTTAAATTATAAATACTTTTTACCGATGATTTTAGTGATTTGATAACATATAGTTACCCTACTAACCCCAACGTTCAACTCATGCACGTATTATTCGCTATAATTTTAATGCAGCCTAGTGTGCAATAATTTAGCTGCCTCATGTCCAGATGCCTGCATTCAATTTACATGGGCTGGCAACTCCAGAAATGTTGGGCTATCAGGCACGCCTAACCTGCCTTTCTTGGCGATAATCATTGAGCAAGGACAAGATTCGAACAAGACCTGCCAAGAAATTTGGCTAGTTCTTGGCGGTTAGACTGGCATCGTCTCGTTTCTGAACGTTTTTGTTGTGCGATCTGTTTTTGTTGTGCGACGTGATAGTTGGTGGGATTGCTATGTTATTTTACTTGTGGTTGTTCCTGTCCTAGCATGTTTGTTTCATGTTGGTTTCAACATTTTAATAGGAACTTTTAAATGAAAGGAAGACATGTCTTGCCCAAGCATCGTTGATGAGCTGCTAAGGAATAGTTTTGCTAGTAGAAGCTATGTTGAGAAGGTGAAAATTGTTCAGGATGGGCGGCCGAAACCAGATCTTAAGTGGGAAGCTCAGGTAAGTGGGGTGGTCAAGACACCAACTTTCCCTTGACTGTGGCTGATCTATTGAACAAAAAAGGCATACAATGCAAATTAAAAACACAATGGCATCACAAAAATAGCAATGCGGAATCACAGGTGGATCTAGGTGGATCCTAGTGATCCATTGGGGTCATGGCCCTCCTCCCAAATGTTTTGATTTTATAGTGAGGGTATCATATTTTGTATACTTCAAATTTGTATTAAACTGCATTGACAGACGAGGCATACATACCTATTCATTTTACATTTCAGTTTCACCTCTTGTTGTGTTTGATTTTGATTTAAATTGTTGTGCTGAATTGCTGCATTGGCTGTTTTAATAGTATATTTTGATGAATGTATTTGAATCAAAATTGGTGTCATTTATTTCATTTTGCTAGTTACTTGTTTGGTTGTTTTGAGTGCCTTGTGGAATGTGGAAATCATTCAGTTACTTATGACTTGATTAGTTATGCTATCCTGAATTATGTAGTCTGGTGTCAGAGTGAAATACATGGAACATGTCTAGGCTGTTTTTTTGTGGATATGCTGATGCTGATGTGCTGATTTTGATAGTCATTTATAATAATTGTTTTGCTTCACCCATGTTATGGGTGTGCAGAAAGTGAAATCTAGTCATCAAACTTCACATCACATTGTTGTTTCATGGTCAGTGTTTGGCTGCATGGGCTGTTTTTTAAATTTGGCTTTTAATATTACATTGCAATCTTTACCATGCCAACTGAACCTTTCTCTGATTCAGCATCATGCTGAGATGATGGTTCCATTTGCATTTGTCATAAAATGTAGTCTTGAAGTCTTGAAGTCTTGAATATATGGAAAAAGGCGTACTGCCTGTAACTTCCACTACTCCTTACTGATTGAGTGGGTATATGTCAGAGCTGGGTAAGGATAATCGTGGGATAATTCAAGGTCACTATGCTTTGTACTATGCTATGTACATATGATTGCATTGGATTAGATTGGTGCTTGCAGCCCATATAGCTAATTAGGTACATCTTTGCTAGGACCAGTACCTAAATGTGGCTATCTTGAAGCTTGTATCCTTAATTTGTACATTATGATTTTGGCAGTTGGTACTGCTTTATACTATTTATGAGTTTATACTATTTATGAATTAGCACCATGCATACTAATTGTGCTCTTGTAGATTGTACACTACACACCTTTGCTATATGAAAATGTACTTCCTGTTGTTGTTTTTAATATGGGTTGGAAATGGGCTTTGAATTATGGGCAATGACCTTATTTAAAGTTTGACACTTGATGCACTTAAAAAGACACCTGGGAAAGGTCTTTCCTTTGAATGCAGATGGTGCTGGTAGTGGTGGTGCTGAAGCATGAGATGTGGTGGTGGTGGTAATGGTGATGGTGATGGTGGTGATGGTGGTGGTGGTGGTTATGGGCATGGTGGTAGTGGCGGTATGATTGTGGTTGTGCATGATTTTTCCCATTTGAAGCTGGGAGTGAAGATCTGCCTTGCCTAAAAATGCGTTCTACCCCTTCCTTGTTGTATGCAGTATGGGAAAACCAAGCGGAGATTCAACCCGGAGTTCTACGAGAAGCGCGAGTGGCTGACGGCACCGGGAGAGGGAGCGCCACGCCTGCTCTGCTGGCCAAATTAGGGGCAAATTAAGCGTGGTGATAACTCCTTGGGGTACCTCGACTCCCACCTGGCCACGACAGAGTGCCTAACCGGTCACGAGGGGCTGGCGCCGCCACTGCAACGACCCTAGGGTGGTTGTAACCTCCCTGAACGATCAGTTTGTTTGCAACGACCCTAGGGACGTTACAAAATAACTGCTCGTTCCGGGACGTTGTAACGAAACTAGGGTCGTTGCAACCTCCCTAGTTAGTATGCAACGAACCTAGGGTTGTTACAAAATAACTAGGGAGTTTAAGAATTCATCGAGTCTCGTTTCACAGGAGGGCCGTCAGCAATCTTGACCAATGAAAATCATGTTCGATCTAGTTCAGTTTAAAAGAAAAGAAGAACAAAATTTGACATTCAGCTCAGGAGTACCTTTCACGACGGCCATCTAGTACACATTTTGTGCAGATAAGGTGAACATTTGGTGCAGATTTGTGCAAATTAGATGGGCATTCTTAGCCCTCGCCCTGGCAGGGCATTTTTCATAACACGGCCTGGCAGGGGGGGTCGATGCGACCCCCCCCCTCGCGATTGGCTCCTATGGCACCTAGAAACACCAAATTTGGTAGGTAGGTGGGCCCCCTGGAGTTCTCGCCCCTGTACAAATTTGGTTGCTCTAGGTCAATATTTAGCGGGTTTTGGGGGTATAAATGTAAAAATTTCGCTAAAAACAGGTCAAAAGTTTTTCGCTTATAACTTTTGATCTAATTAAGATAGAGCAAAAAAAAGCACCAGTGAACTCAGCACGTCAAGGCGCGTCGAATGATATACTTTTTAGCTTGCTTAAGTGTACTTAAAGTTTTTCTTAAATTTTAAGTAAACTTAAATTAATAAATTAAGTTCAAGTTAACCAAATTGCATCATATCGCATATCATTCGATTCGGCTGATCACCAGGAACACAATGATACCATTTTTTAAGCTCTAGCGTCATTATGTGCCAAGTTATTGGCAAAAACGTCATTTGACCTCAGTTGACCTCATTTGACCTGACCCATTGATAAGTACACCAAACAAAGAAGCACCAAGTGACCTGCTGTTAAGTACTGTGGTTTTAAAGCACAAAAGTGATAGAACGAAGCGGATATCTCCAGTATTTTCCGAATTTAGTATTTTCCCATAGGCTTAACATTACGACGTAATGACCTCTAACTGACCTCAGGTCAGTGACCTAAAAAAAAACGAACTATATGTTATACAACTCGGTGAACTTAGCACATCCTGAAAGTTTGAAGGAAATCAGTCCAAAACTGTGAGTTGGACAGGTGCAAAAAGAAAATTGAAATTTGACCATGACCTTGTACCGGTTTTTCTGACCTGGTGACCTGACCCAAGGTCACCCGGACCTGAAATTTTCAGGTCATATGTAAATAGGTTGCCCTATAGGCTGTGCTAAATTTGGCGGCGCTGCGCGCCGCCGTTTTTACGCTATCTTCGAAAAACCTTAGGGGGGGGTCGCATCGACCCCCCCTGCCAGGGCGAGGGTTAGGTGTTGTTTTTAGATGGGCATTAGATGGGCAGTTTTGTTTTAGATGGGCATTCGCCAGGAAGCCCTTCGTAAAAACGGCTATTATCCGCTCGTTTCCAGTCTTTTTGTGATTGTAAACGTTTAAACATGTGAAATGATGGTGGTCCCATGCATTATGTTGGGTGTCAAGGTCACGTGAAGGTCAGGTCAATGTCATTGACCTTAGATTACCTTAGTTCACTTCTGGGTTCATATATTTTCAGGCTAGTTTTTTGAGCTGATTTCGAATTTAACACCCATTTGAACATTAACGAAGCATTTTTGGCGCCTTCGTACCATGTCACGAAGCTGTCAGTGGTGGTTAACACCTACTATGGACAGCTAGTAAGACGCCTACTGGTTGACCTGACCTGACCTGACCCGACCTGGCCTAAAAACATCAAGACATCATCGGTGATCAAAGCTAATATGAAATTCGTGATCAGCGCCCCGAAAAAAAAAAACTCGTAACAACCTAACTCTCCAAAGTTTTAACAGGTCTCGATTTTCCAGACTTTTGAGTCACTGGCCTGACCTGGATGGTCAGCCAATAACCTAGCCCCGTCCTGTGCGTTTGCGGCTAGCAAAACACCAATAAGGGCGAGAGTTAACCCCGCAGGACCTGTTGGTTTTCTACATACGCTCCGGCCGGGGGGAGGGTTGATACGACCCCTCGTCGTTTTTCACCCCTGATGGAGTTAGAGCGTCGCGGAAAAAAACGGGCGTGTGTGCCGTTAGGAGACACAGCAACTAGCACCCGATTTTAAGGTCTCAGGTCAACCGGTGACCTCTGAGGTCAGGTCAAGTGACCCAAGACACTGGTTCGGTTTTTGATTAATAATTTCTTAAAAAAAAAAAAAACAGTCGCTTAGGGCGATTTTAGCATCAATGTGCTCGCCTTGCTTACGCGCATCGAATGGTATACTTTTTGTTCGGGTGAGGTCAACTTGAGGTGTTGACCTCGGGTCAAGGTCAGGTCAGGGACCCCTAGGTCGCGAAATTGGTCAAAGGAGGTCATGCTGCATATTATTCGATTCGGCAGGTCTTCCTGCGTCCATCGGTGGCTTAACCGTCTCGCTAGCTCAGTTTGATCGGGAGTTATTGAGGAAAAGCTCGTATGACCCTAGTGACGTCATAAATGACGTCATGCAACATCAACAATGCAAAATCGAAGCATCTAACCTTGCAAGGAGTGCATGAAATCACGATCCGTGTGCTTGCGATAGTTTGAGATCGTTCCCGGCGCCAGAATAGCAGTTTTCATTTTTCTCAATGGACTTTTAGTGGTGAGGTGACGTGACCGACCCGGACCTGACCTCATGTGATCTTTAGGAAAAATCCTAGAGGTACAAGTTGTGAGACTTCTAGAAGATGCACGTACTGTAAGTTTCATCACCCTGTAAAAGCTCCTCTGGGACTGAGGGCGTTGCGAAGTTGCGGCATCTGAGGTCCGTCCACTTATGACGTCATAGGTCAGTAGCCTGACCTGACCTGAAAATCTGGTTGGTGTCACAAGATCCGGCTTGAATCAAAGGTCAGGTATGCCTAGTTTCAGCTCTCTGTTGCTGGCGTGTTCGGAGCTATCGCGAAAAAAAAACTTGGGGGGCGAGGATAAAGCCAGGCTGGGTTGGGTAAGTTTGGGTCAAGTAGTAGGCGTCCCATCCGCACCACCTGTTTATAGCAGGTGTACCTAAACCACCAGCGACAGCTTCGTAGCAAGTTGCATTGGCATTACAACTATACCTACGTACTTCTCAAATGTCTCAACGAATGCTGAATTCGAAATAAGCTAAAAAATAAATCCCTTAAAATCGTAAAATTTGAAAGTCACCCGAATTCACCAAACGTCAATGACCTTGACCTGGCCGACAACTGACAAGGCAACTTGAAACCCATCATGATGCATGGGACAACCATCAGCTCACATGTTGGCATGTTTATATGTAATCACAATAGAAGTCTGGAAACGCAATTTTATGTGCGCTAACATAAACGGCAAATCATTTCGGTCGGCCATGGTCTCAGAAATCAGATCAAAGGTCAAAGGTCATTGGTTTCAGGATCATGAATTGTATAGAGAATGTGTAACCAGTAACGTAGATAAGTTCGAGGACACTCAAAGTTTCGTCACAATCGGCCGCTTTTAACGCGAGATAATCGCGAAAAAAAACGAGGGGTTTTATCCGGCCCGCACCCCTAAAAGTGTGAGGGATAACCCGCACACGGATAGCGACGGATATCCATCACACCTACCCCAGTAACTATATTTTCTACATGTAAGCATATTGCTGGCGATATAATGCAGCCAAAATTATCACAGTTACGTGCATTGTCCCGGGCACCACATATACTCCTGAGCTGAATGTTCAAATTTTGTTCTCCTTTTCTTTTAAACTGAACTAGCTTGAACAAGATTTTCATTGGTCAAGATTGTTGACGGCCCTCCTGTGAAACGAGACTCGATGAATTCTTAAACTCCCTAGTTATTTTGTAACAACCCTAGGTTCGTTGCATACTAACTAGGGAGGTTGCAACGACCCTAGTTTCGTTACAACGTCCCGGAACGAGCAGTTATTTTGTAACGTCCCTAGGGTCGTTGCAAACAAACTGATCGTTCAGGGAGGTTACAACCACCCTAGGGTCGTTGCAAACTAACTGAAATCGCATACTCCCTGTAACACTCTTTTTTAGCATACAATACAACATAGAAGCAGATAGGCGCAAAAGTAAAGCATACCCTGTAGCGCCCTTAGAACGACGGGAAAGACCTCGCCTGGCGGCAGAGATATAAGACTACGACACCATAAGACTGCCGCGGTGGCCCTACTGGGGTGAACGGGTCGACGGCAGGTACCCAGAAACGTTGGTTGGACGGAATGACATGACCCGGGGCTGTGTGTAACAGGACACCCCTAAGGCACAGGCCGGGGTAAGACCGTGCTGCCGGGCCAGGGGCCAGGTCAGACCGGATCGGGCCCATGGCCGTCCGGCGGTGTGCGGCCGGGTCAGGTCAGACCGGTTCAGGGCCGTGGCCGCGGCCGTCCGGCGGTGTGCGGCCGCGCGGCGCGGCGCCGTCCGATGGATCATCGGCCACCGCCATTTGTCGGTGGCCGATCGGTCAGCCGCCCAGCCGCCGCTCGACGCTGATGCACCCAATTGACTGCCGCCGGCGAGCCCGCCGCCGCCCACGGGCCCGGCAGCGGCCGGTCAGCGCCCCGCGCCAGCCGCCGACACTGATGTGATGTGATTTATGGCACGGAGAGCTATAAAACCGAACGGAGCTCTTTAGAAGCTCTGCTTTAGCCGGTCGAGTGACTCATTTATAGCAGTCAGACGGGGTCTGTCAGGGCCCACCTGACAATGCTGACAGCCAAACTGCGGTGGATGCGGAGCAGCTGATCACTGGAGGACACGTGATCGGTTCGTGGAGTGTGGCGTCCCATACCCGCTACACTGGTGACACGGTACCAGCCACCTAGTCTGGTGGTAGGTACCCTCGCCGTTGGTAAAGATTATCCCCTTCTCCCCGGCACTTCCTCCGACATGAGATTCTTTCTATTGAGACTATCCTCGTCAGATAGTCACTGAAAGCCCACTGACACACGGCCACTCACCTCTGGCGGATCCTTCGTAAGGTCGAGCTCCTCCCGGCAATTCTTCCTCTGTTGAGGTGTTCAATGACGGGTTACCGCCCAACCTGGAACGAAATGCAAAACTCATCAACTTTTTATATATGCCGCAATTATCGCCTACACCGAAATGAAATGCGAAACGTATAGCAGTCTAGTAATAAAAAACGCACAGAAATCTGCTCAAAAAGACAACTGAAACAATAGCAAAAGTGTCACCGTTCACTAACGGGTGTCTACTAAATAATGAGAAAATTTCTAAGGAGTTGATACGCACCTTTAATGGTAGCACATGATATGCATAATTCACATGATGAAAGACCAATCTTACTTACTCAGCACTTAGTTACTCAGCATTTTAAATCCGCTCATTTTTAACGCCAGGACATTTCCACCAGACCCACACACACACACACACACACACTGCTCCCCACACCCCATCAGCCGTCATCCACCTCAGCCCCAGACGCACCTCTGTGCCCCTCCCCACGCTGACATGGAGACGGGCCTCTATCTGTCGGTACCGCCCAGGTTCTAACCGTCCCTCCCCTCCCCGCCACCGGTCCGGGCAGTAGCGCTCCGAGTCGTCCGACAGACCGGCCGACCGTTAGTCGGAACGGCCGGCGGGGGAGCGATCCACCGCGGCAGACAGCGGTACAGCAGCGGTCCGAGACCGGTCCGACAGCGGCCAGTCGGTGCTTGCACGGCTCCGGCGGACTAACAGGGGACGGACTGGGCTGGGATAACACAGAGTCCACAGCACACAGCGGCTCTGACACCGCACATAGAGTCCACACAGCACGCAGCGGCTGTGACACCGCACACAGAGTCCATAGCACACGGCGGCTCTGACACCACGCTGGAACAACAAAGAGTCCACCGCACACAGAGTTCACAGCACGTAGCGACTCTGACACCGCGCTGGGATTTGTCGATCGAGGTAGGACTGGCAGCAAACAAAGCTAACCAAGAAACATAGCGGTCTGCGCCACCGACGGAGCCACGACAAAAGCGGACAAGGGCTTTGAGCACCACAAACAGCAACGTGCTCACCACAAAAGGAAAACTGTCAACTCCTCGAGCACACTTGCTAGAATGTACAAACATGGAGAGGAATCTCAGTGGCATCAATTGAAACAGCGCTCCTGTCAGCCGCCTGGGCACTGGGCAGTCTTGCCAAACTCGTATTGAGCCCCGTCTAGCCTGATGTAGGCATCTATTACATTTCCCAGCCACCGCCACCCACACCGTGAGGGAGGGGGAGGGGGACGGGGCCCACACCGTGGCGCGGTCGCTCACCAGCTCTCACATACGTCCATGATGCCCATGGATTCGAGCTGGAACAGCGTGGCCTGCGCCTCCTCCACGTAGATCGAGTCGGGCCCGGCGCCGGCCGCCGGCCTGCAGACGTGGGTCAGCCGTCAGTCACATTGGGTCAGCCGTCAGTCACAATGGGTCAGCCGTCAGTCACATTGGGTCAGCCGTCAGTCACATTACAGTAACAACCCCTCACAGCGTAACAGTTACATAGCAAAAAAACAAGAGCCGCAGGCATCAGATCCGCCGGATTAGTGGCATTCTGGGTACCGGATCTGCCTGTATCAGCGCCGGCAGATTGGCAACATTCTGGGAATACATGTAACAGAGTCGACAGACCAGATACTTTTTGAGCCGCTGACCTCAGCCAAGGGCGGTGGCTCAAATATATCACTGTCTCCAAGTGGGCCGGATCTGGCTGGGGTCGGAGCTAAGCTCACGGCATTTAGAGAGGTTAGATTGGATCCCCGCCCTGCCCACTCACTGTACGGTGCAGGCGCCTGACTCGAGTAGAACCGCCAGCAGCGCGTGCTTCTGTAACAGACAGCGGAGAGGCACCGTGAAATGGTCGCCACCGACTCAGGGGCGACACCGTGCCGCGCACTAAACAGCGCAGCAAACGGCAGAGGCAGAGCCGGCGTGAAATGACGGCAGACGCCCAGAGGTCACCCAGTCCGCCGCCCAGAACAGCACGGCGGGGCAGCGGGGCAGCCAGCGTGAAACGACGGCAGAGGTCCAGGTCACAACGTCCGCCACCCGGTACAACACAGTAATCCCAGAGATATAGACAGCGAGAAATACAGGCCGGCAGCACCGGCCACTACCCAGGGTGGTATCCAGAATCCACTGCCGCAGTCCGCCGCCCGGTACAGCACGGCAATCGACGGCGAGACAGACACCGAACTGACGGAGACAGGACCGACGTACACATACAGCAGCACACAGCGGCAGACCAGAAGCCAGATATTCAGTTGGATGCGTTTGCGTACAGTACGCCAGCACGACAGTCGGTGCCTCTAAATAACATACTGCAATCGAGGTAGTCTGTCACAAATTCCACACTGCAAGCATATACATCATTTAAAGCAGCTGTTATGCGCGAAGCAGAGTGTGTAGTCCCGATGACACGGGTCGGCACTGGCCGACCGACCGACCGGCCGATCACACAATCACATTAGCCGGGGCGCTGCAAATTTCATCAGCAGCTATATCGGCGATCGGTTCCCAGTAACATGCTCCAGTCCTGGGTCGATTTGATGGCTGCGTACTACCATGGACATGAGCAATGTCAATGCGAACATCATCAACGGAGTACGGTAGTGCATCAAAATGACGCCGAATCAGGCTGGTCACGGGGAGCTATGGGCTATTAATTGAATATGGCCTCACTCAGTAGTAGCTTGGAATATCACCTAGTACTTAATCATGCAAGTGCTCGAAACTATCACTGGATTTTCATTAGCAAATATAAATGTAAAGAGCAAATCAAACAATAAGCATGATTCGATAAAGAGAAAGAGAACAAACTCAGGACAATCACACATCTGAGGCCAATTTTATCAACAGAAAAATAGCCGCCTGCCGGAATTTTTTCCTTTAAGACCGCTTCACTTACGGAGCGTAAAAGGTAGAGCCCTATCCGCTTACGTGTGCATCGCGTTTACGCTCCGTATGTGAAGCGGTCTTAAGCCCAAAAAATTCCGGCAGGCGGCTATTTTTCTGTTGGTAAAACTGGCCTCTGGTTATTTGAAAGATCGCAAGTTTTGTAAAACCTAAAGTCGACGAAACACCTGAGAAAAGGCATGGACGACAAACAATTTCAGCCCTCCTCTACCTACCGCCCCGACCACCAGCACGTAGCAGCCCCACCTGCTGTGCCCCTCCTTACCGCCCCGACCACCAGCAGGTACCGGCCCACCTGCTGTACTCCCTCCCCCTCTCCCTCCTTACCGCCCCGACCACCAGCAGGTAGCAGCCCCACCTGCTGTGCCCCTCCTTACCGCCCCGACCACCAGCAGGTAGCAGCCCCACCTGCTGTACTCCCTCCCCCTCTCCCTCCTTACCGCCCCGACCACCAGCAGGTAGCAGCCCCACCTGCTGTACTCCCTCCCCCTCTCCCTCCTTACCGCCCCGACCACCAGCACGTAGCAGCCCCACCTGCTGTGCCCCTCCTTACCGCCCCGACCACCAGCAGGTACCGGCCCACCTGCTGTACTCCCTCCCCCCTCTCCCTCCTTACCGCCCCGACCACCAGCAGGTAGCAGCCCCACCTGCTGTGCCCCTCCTTACCGCCCCGACCACCAGCAGGTAGCAGCCCCACCTGCTGTACTCCCTCCCCCTCTCCCTCCTTACCGCCCCGACCACCAGCAGGTAGCAGCCCCACCTGCTGTACTCCCTCCCCCTCTCCCTCCTTACCGCCCCGACCACCAGCAGGTAGCAGCCCCACCTGCTGTGCCCTCTTCGTCCTTACCGCCCCGACCACCAGCAGGTAGCAGCCCCACCTGCTGTGCCCTCTTCGTCCTTACCGCCCCGACCACCAGCAGGTAGCAGCCCCACCTGCTGTGCCCCTCCTTACCGCCCCGACCACCAGCAGGTAGCGGCCCACCTGCTGTACTCCCTCCCCCCTCTCCCTCCTTACCGCCCCGACCACCAGCAGGTAGCAGCCCCACCTGCTGTGCCCTCTTCGTCCTTACCGCCCCGACCACCAGCAGGTACCGGTCCACCTGCTGTGCCCCCCCCCCCACCCTCCTTACCGCCCCGACCACCAGCAGGTAGCGGTCCTTACCACCCCCTGTGCTGTACTTTGCCCCTCCTTACCGCCCCGACCACCAGCAGGTATCGGCCCACCTGCTGTCCCCCCCCCTCCTTACCGCCCCGACCACCAGCAGGTAGCAGCCCCACCTGCTGTACTCCCTCCCCCCTCTCCCTCCTTACCGCCCCGACCACCAGCAGGTAGCAGCCCCACCTGCTGTGCCCCTCCTTACCGCCCCGACCACCAGCAGGTAGCGGCCCACCTGCTGCCCCCTCCCCCCACCCCCTCCTTACCGCCCCGACCACCAGCAGGTAGCAGTCCAGCTGCTCGCTGCTGTAGTTGTCTCCGGCGGCAGTGTCTGCTCCGGCCGGCCCTGGAGCAGGCTCGGCCGCCGGGGCCGGGGTGGTGCCCGCAGACGCCCGCCGGTACGGTCTCCACAGCACCAGCTGACGCCAGCGACCGCGGCGGGTCCGCTCCAGTAGCTGCCGGTGTCGCAGCACCAGGTGTACCGAGGCCTGGTCCTCGACCGGTAGGTGCGAGCACACCAGGTAACCCTGCCGAGACGGGAGGGACAGTCTGTCAGACAGTACCAGGTGGACAGAGGCCTGGTCCTCGACCGGTAGGTGAGAGCACACCAGGTAACCCTGCGGGGAGGGAAGGGAGGGACAGTCTGTCAGACAGCACCAGGTGGACAGAGGCCTGTTCCTCGACCGGTAGGTGCGAGCACACCAGGTAACCCTGCCGAGAAGGGAGGGACAGTCTGTCAGACAGCACCAGGTGGACAGAGGCCTGGTCCTCGACCGGTAGGTGAGAGCACACCAGGTAACCCTGCGGGGAGGGAAGGGAGGGACAGTCTGTCAGACAGCACCAGGTGGACAGAGGCCTGGTCCTCGACCGGCAGGTGCGAGCACACCAGGTAACCCTGCCGAGAAGGGAGGGACAGTCTGTCAGACAGCACCAGGTGGACCGAGGCCTGGTCCTCGACCGGCAGGTGAGAGCACACCAGATAACCCTGCCGAGACGGGAGGGACAGTCTGTCAGACAGCACCAGGTGGACAGAGGCCTGGTCCTCGACCGGCAGGTGCGAGCACACCAGGTAACCCTGCCGAGACGGGAGGGGGGGGGACAGTCTGTCAGACAGCACCAGGTGGACAGAGGCCTGGTCCTCGACCGGCAGGTGCGAGCACACCAGGTAACCCTGCCGAGACGGGAGGGGGGGGGACAGTCTGTCAGACAGCACCAGGTGGACAGAGGCCTGGTCCTCGACCGGCAGGTGAGAGCACACCAGGTAACCCTGCCGAGACGGGAGGGACAGTCTGTCAGACAGTACCAGGTGGACAGAGGCCTGGTCCTCGACCGGCAGGTGAGAGCACACCAGGTAACCCTGCCGAGACGGGAGGGGAGGGACAGTCTGTCAGACAGCACCAGGTGGACAGAGGCCTGGTCCTCGACCGGCAGGTGAGAGCACACCAGATAACCCTGCCGAGACGGGAGGGACAGTCTGTCAGACAGCACCAGGTGGACAGAGGCCTGGTCCTCGACCGGCAGGTGAGAGCACACCAGGTAACCCTGCCGAGACGGGAGGGAGGGACAGTCTGTCAGACAGTACCAGGTGGACCGAGGCCTCGACAAGGAGGGGCGGAGCGGGGGCAGGGAGGGGCGGAGCACTCACCCTGTAACTCGGTCAGGACAGAGGGCTGGAGCGGTTACCAGGTATCCCGGCAAGGTTAGCGCGGGGAGAGCCCCGGCCCTATTGAGCGGTTCTAGCGAGCACCAACAGACGCTGGCCCAGTCACCTTAGCGTCAAGTTCATGACCGCCCCGGGAGGCACACGCGGCTGGTAGCGGTCTCTCAGTTACGCCGGCCGCTGCCGTAACGACTCTGGAATGGGACAGCCTCCGACTGACCGGGGCGGCCGAACAAACGACTGGTCAGCTCCCAAAGGGCCGCGACTGGCTAAAGGTGAGGATTGTACCGCCACGGTCAGCTGCTTATGGTGGTCAGAAATAGCACAAGGATAGCGCTTTGACTCGAGGTCAGGAAATTACACCTGAGTCAACTGAGAAAACATTATAAAGGTGACGCTCACGTTCAGATTCCACGTTGCCGCTGGGTCACACAAGGTTCAGGGGTGTCGCGGAACTAGTGCCCAAAGCTGAGCCCTGTAGGCGCCAGTGAGGCGCAAACCACGCTCACCAACTGAACTAAGGATTAGTAGTGCCCACAACTGACTGAGCCAATGACTCTGAAACCGAGTCATGAGCCGCGCTCACCCACAGAACCGGACTCTGTCGAGCGGAAGCCGGTAAATCCCTGATCTGATCTCAGTGCTTCATCCCGTCACGCGGCTCGGTGCTCTATCCTGTCACGCGGCTCAGACTAAATAAAACGCTCCATCAGCCACGCAGCGCGACCATCAGCCACCACGATCTGTCTGCCAGGCAGCTGCCGCCGCACCAACCCCGGACCATCCATATCGACACCGCATCTCGGCGGGGTGGGGCGCTGCACGGGGCGGGGTGGCAGCGGGGGCAGGCAGGGGTGAGGGACATCAGTAACAGCGGCCCACAGTCGGAGACACTCGTATTTCACTAGGCCTACGCCTCGACCTGCGACCATGTGTGAGCTCCTGTTCCAGCTACTGAGGTCTCACCTTGTAGTAGAGGGCCGAGCCGCGCAGCAGATAGAGCCGCTCCAGGCCGTAAAAGTCCTCCGACTGCGGGACAGACGCACACACACATACTGTCAGTTGCCAGCGGTGATACGGCTCGACACAAAGACGGCTGCCACACAGCCTAATTAGCAGCCCCAAAGGAGGCTCTGAAAGTACGGCGCGTGCCGCCGCCGCCTGGGGCGACGAAACGTCGCCGTATGTTAGCCGCGGACAGCCTAAACCTGCCACAACACGGCTCGAGCCCAACCACGCCGCACCGCACGGAAATGAGACGGCTGGCGGGCTAAGCACAAATAAAAAACGGCGTCTTGACGCAAACATTAACATCAAGTCTGACTCATCACGAAATAATACAGGCTTCATAAAGTTAGCGTCATATCGTCTAGCTTGAAAGGAAGTGTATATCAATTAGGTATGCACAAAACATTACTTTGTAAGGGACTGCAATGAGAATTGGGGAGTGGGGACATCACGCACACAAGTCTAACCACTGGCCTGAAGTCAGGTCTGACCAAACACTACCTACCTAATGGTTATAAAAAAAGGTTTCCTTATTTATTCGGCGCCCTTATAGGCAGCTCTCGAAACAAGCTGCGGCGTCATCTGCGTCATAAGCATATGATATTTGACGGTATATTTCAACGCGATGTTTTTTCGTAGTTCGTGTTGGTTGTTCCGTGGCCCGGCCGGTGCACCATCCTCCTCCCCAAAGTTACCCACCTCCTCTCCAAAGTCACCCACCTCCTCTCCAGTTACCCACCTCCTCTCCAAAGTCGCCCGACTCCAGCTCCGTCAGACTGTCTTCAATCAACACCTGCGGACACAAGAGTAACGGTCAGATTACCAGACTGACTCTCATCGGTACCTGCCGACAGCAGTCACATTCGCTCTGGAATTCCGACATCCAGCGGCCGTCCACAGACCACTGCCGTCGTCCCCTCCGCCCCCCCCCCCCCCACACACACACCTAATCCCACGCGGTGATTCCCCGGTGACCCCGAGTACGACTCGAACCGACTCCAACTCGTTATGGTCGGCCGGGTAGTAACGGTGCCGATAAAACGCACCTCCGATATCCCCAATACGGCTGGCGGGCGGCCACAGCACGGCGGCGGCTACCGCCAGAGTCCCCACTAACGACGCCGGCCGGCCGTACCACTCCAACCCCATCGGGCTCATATACTGCACTTCAGACGGCTTACCGGGCGCCTCAAACGACACAAACTAGACCACCCGGCCCAGAATATCCTATGATGGATTCACCTGTCTAGGGTCGGGCTGTAAGCAGCTTACAGCGCACAGCACTCCAATGTCACCGCGATGCATGTCGACACATCACGTATCACGGACAACTCCTTAGCAGATGGCGCCGCCGATAGCCGTAATGAGCAGCAGAGCGCTAACGATAGTCAGTTCGGGCGGCCACCCCTGCCTGTCTGCCCGGCCGTCGCGGGCCGTATCGCGCCGGCAGAGCGGAACATTCAGACACCGTAAAATCTCCCGGGGCCGCAGCCAATCTGCCGCTCCACTCTGGGCCGACTTTTACACCCACATCAAACGCACCGCGAGCTGGCGGCCGTCACTTCAGCTGGAGCGTCGGCTCCCAGCCCACCTCTGCCGGCGCCGGTCATTCTGCCGCCCTCGCCGGCACAACGGGCCGCTGATGTAAGTCCCTCGCGTGTGGCACCTAATTGAGCTTAAGCCTCGCGGTAAAAAGACGATGATGATGATGAGCGAGGGTTTTTGGACGGAGAAGAGGCTCGATGTTCTTACAAGAGGGAGACAATGACTTACGAAAATGAGAAAGCGATCTTCACGGAAAAGAGGTCCTCCATCCTGTATCCACAAGTCGCGATAGAGCCTATCCTGCATCTACTAAGGTAGCACAGAGGGAACTGGTGTTCCCCGTCCGTATCACCACTGAATTATGTCGGACGTTCCGAACCTCAGAGAGGCTCGCCGCTCTCGGCGGCGCGGTGGAGCGCCACTGGCGCGGCGCGTCTGCCGCCGCCTCTGACGGCGACACCCGGACCGTCACACGGCGCCGCCAATTAAAGCAGCGCCGCCGGCGGTGGCGAGACTAAAGAGAACGGAGCGGCTGCTGCTGGCGGCCCGGGCGGCTCGGGGTGGTATAATCACCGCCGGTCAGAGGGACAGAGACACACTCCACAACGGAGAGAGAGGAGAGAGAGGGAGAGAGAGAGAGAGAGAGAGAGAGAGAGAGAGAGAGAGAGAGAGAGAGAGAGAGAGAGAGAGAGAGAGAGAGAGAGAGAGAGAGAGAGAGAGAGAGAGAGAGAGAGAGAGAGAGAGAGAGAGAGACAGAGAGAGAGACCGCCGTCTCCGGACATGAAAAAACTACATATCTGTGGACTAACCATATCATAACATCCACATAAAATCCGTCTGTAGACCGACCACAGAAGTGCTCTGGTATGATTACTGGCTTCATTATGGACACTGAAGCGTCCACCTCCCCTCCGTCTACCAGCAATGACGCCAGCACGGCGCCAATATAGCCCCCTGACGCCACCACAGCGTCCACCGCCAGCCAGTCCCCGGCGGGCGCCGCCGAGGTCCATCCTATTGGCACGCGATTACCAAAGCCATTACCATACCAATAAGGGGAGATCCTTCATTCAGCGCCGCTATTTTATTCGGCGCAGAAGGCAGCGAAAACAATGGACTGAAGGAATGCTGATGAAAGAGAAGATGAAGAAAATGGAAAGCGGGTGGCGAAGAAAATATCTACGATGTGGCACATAAAAACGAGCTGGTTGTCCAACAGCCTCAAGCAAAATGACTTGGCCTTATGAAATGAGGGTACGGTAACACAATAAAACTGTGCGGCAGTGGACAGCATCAACAGTAAGCACCTAACCGGAAAGAGGGTTACTATACGGAGTACGGACGTCAGACAGCTGCACTATTTCACACACGCACAATTTCATCCCTCCACACCGCACAGGCTCACAGCAGCTTGGTCATAGCAGCGTAAACTTAATGCCATTCCGCGAGTTGGCACAGCTATTAGCGGTCGGACGAAATTAGAGCTCCAGACTCCATAAATCCATTAGACACCAGTTGGCGGGCCGGCAGTGGCACTCGGCAGCCGCAGCCCAGCTACCGTTACTGTCCCTGTCACCAGCCGCCACAGAACCGTGCAGTCGGCACGCTCTGCTCAACCGGCCGCCGTACGAGGCAGGACACGGCCAGCGGCCCAACGACAGAATACGACAGAATATGGGCCGAGCTGGAGTGATCCCAGTAGCAGATTCGAGATCCGCAAAGCCTTGGATATGCAATGTGGATCGTGGAAAGTAAACGTAATATCATGAAATGAGGAAACGACAAACCCTTTGTCCACTCCGGTCAACAAGGCACAGTTAGCACACGAACACGATCGGCTGGCACGATGGGCGCCCTTCACAGCCGAGCCCCACTTCCACAACACCGGAGATAGCCTCAAACTTAAACACGATCTCCATGCATACTTCAGCGAGCACGGCCATCATCGGAACTATCTCGATCGATTCACCAGAATATAATAATGAAACCTAGCCCTCTGCTCTGTCGAGAGAAGCGCCATTTCCAAAACCCGCCACTTCTCAGAACCGATGAGCTATCAGCACCTGGCCAGGCCGGGTCGGCGAATATCACACGGATTCCTTGTCAGCTGAATTAGCAGATAGCACAATTTGCCGGGACTCTTTCCCCATCACCTCAGTTAGCAGGCATCACAATTTGCTGGGAATCCTTCCCCGTAAGGCACGTTTTTAAACATCACACTCGGTTACCGGGTCATAGCTGGCCGGACTTTATTGTGTCCAAGTCGGTATGGAATCCTAGCTGGGTTGGCTACAAGTGAGCAGTCTGTGACGCAGATGGAGCCAAATGGCAGTCTGTGACGCAGACACAATGACCAATGACCAACGACCATGAGCTGGGTACGGCCCTGATGGTGAGAAACGACCGCCGGGTCCAATATGCACCTAACCTGGATTTCCCGCCAATGAAGATGGATGATAATCTGAGCGGCCGTCAGGGAGTCCATCTAAACAGGTGGAAATTGAAATGCGCGTCGCCATATGTTGCCGGTAAGGTCAGACAGGACGGCAGGGCAGCAGCCGGCCTGGGTCGGCGCGGCGCACGCAGCCACTGCCACAAAGGAAGGCTCGGCCGGCCGGGCGCCGCAGCGCCGTCAATTGCGCTCGTTTGCGGCTGGCGCCGAGTAATTAGTGTCTGCCGGCAGCGGCGCGTCTTGTTACGCCCGGAAACGCGCCGCGTGCGGCCGGAGATGGTCTGAGGCGGCCGCCACTGGCGGAGTGGCGCCGGCGTACACGATCGGGGCACTAATGAACGAAGGAGGCGCCGCGCCCGCCCGCAGCAGAGGTGCCCGGCTCCACTACAGTGGAACAGGCGGCCCCACCGCGAGCACGGAGCGCACAGGGTCGATCCCGCCCGGCTTATCGAGCGCACAATGATGGATTAAAAGCGATGGAGCGGTGACACACAAAAAGGAGTTTGCCAACAGCGTTCGGCCAAACACCGGATCACGCTTCAGTCCAAACTTTGAGCGCACTACAATCCAAACTTTTTGCGCATTACAACGGCGAAAAAATACCGACGCCATTCAGCAGAATTGGAATGGTTCCACATCAGCCCGACGAACTTCTAAATCTCATCTACATGAATATATAAATATATCTTTTCGATATTCCTCCCTAACATTCACACCTTCAACCACACACAAAAGCATCAATCCATCGTTAGCCCGTGCACCCCTGGCCCTTATATGCGGATTGTGGACCCCCTAACGCGCTCGTATGGCTCCTTCCAGTACCGACCCACACGTAAGCCCCCTCCGATGCTGAACCCAACTGCACGTGTGTCATTCCCACCCTTGGCCTACACGTGGTCCACCTCCCTCTCCTGACCCACATGTGTGACCTCTCCGGTACCGACCTGCACACGTGGCCCATCCCGACTGACCCTCACGTGTGGCCTCCTCTCTCGCGACTATCACGTGTGGCCCCTCCCCCGATCCTGACCTGGACGTGTCGCGGCAGATGCACGGTGTGGGCTGCAGCCAACAGCCGTGACCCCGCCCCCTGACCTCTCCTGACCTGAACGTGCCGCGGCAGATGCACGGTGTGCGCGGCGGTCCCCTCCCTCTCCTGACCCCCTCTCCCTCCTGACCTGAACGTGCCGCGGCAGATGGACGGTGTGCGCGGCGGCCCCCTCCCCCTCCTGACCTGGACGTGCCGCGGCAGATGGACGGTGTGCGCGGCGGCCAGCAGCCGGTCCAGACCGCCGGCCGGCCGCTGCGGCCGCGCGCCGCGCGCGCCGGCCAGCAGCTCGGGCGTCAGCAGCGCCTGCTGAAACACCAGCGCCAGCAGGTGGTCCACGTAGGGCCGCTGCGACCGCTCCCGGAGCGCGCTGAAACCGGGCGGTACGGCGGAGTCATCAGCCCGTGCTGCCAACCGTCTACAAACGCCGGGTCACGCCGGCTAACGGCTCCCCGGGCGGCGCAATGAGTCCGAGAGATGCACGCATTGAGACAACGAGACGGCGGGGACGGCGGCGGCGTCTGCTGAGCTCCTGGAGACGGACCGATTATGGCAGAGTCGGGGACGGCGAGCGTTGGGCTGGGATTCGGAGTTCGGATTGACACTGAGGGCGCGGGCAGGTGAACGCTGGACTGGTTAGGGTTTAGAGCGAGTAACATAAATGGTACCCAGGTATTGATCTAAAGCTCTGAATATTGTGTTGTAAATCAACCATTTTGGAATCCAATAAAGCCTGTGAGCAAGATGGATTGCGGCGCTAAATCATGTAGCTATTGCTGGCATGTGCAGCAAGCTGGCTCTAATCGTGACGAATTGCTTCATTTAAACACGCAAACAAGCATATTGCATTTCCGTGCTTTTGACTCATGGACATGCCTTGTTGCACAATAACGAAAATCTCCACAATAACCCCTCCCCCACACACACACACATATACACTACACATCGGTAAAACACGGGCAGGTGCGGTGTCACTCTCACAGAAGTACACACCGGCCCCGGCCCCAGGTGAGCTGACCGTCCCGACCTCTGTCCGACCCGGCTCAACACTCATGACACTCATTGCTCAACGCTCATTAACACTCATTGACCGGACCGAGCGGCCCGACTGGAGGCGGCGGCCGGGCCGAGCTGTCGCCGCGAACAATCAGCCATTAACGGGCCGGTCCCAATGGCCGCCGGAACACGGCCGATGACGTAATTACCGGCAGCCAAATGATGTCGTTAGAGCCGGTCGATGACGTCATTACCGGTGCCCCAATATCGCCCGCCGCCCGGTAGGTATTCCGAACAGGCCCCGAGCCACCACCGGATTTACTGTGAGAGCGCGGCGCGAATCCCAACCAGCCCAGAACCAGTGGGCACGATAAAACTCTTTGAAGACCAGCGAGCCGCCAAACCAAATCATATTCCGACCACGTGAGATACGGAACGGACTGAGAATCCGCATAACAAACTTGGCGCATCAATAAATGGCGTCTGTCTGTGGCGGAGGGACTCTCGCTGACATTGCCACCTGACGCCGCGGGACGGCTGGATGACCACGGACAGGGGAGCTGAGCCAGGCTGCAGCGTGTGCCGCACTGCTGGTGAACTGTCCGCTCCCAGAGCCGGGACGCGTCCCATCCACAGAGCGCGGATATCAGTCAGCGATACCCGGCCCTGCAGGTGAGCTGGCCGGGTCTGGGCGTGATACGGCGCGGCGGAACAGCCCCTTAGCTACACCAACGGACCATTCACAACATATGAGGAAAGTGTGTCCAGAATGTCCAGCTCCAAATACTCCCAGAAAGTTCATTTTAGTCTGACATACGAGTAAAATAACATGAGATCCAGCCTATCTAATTAAGGGCAGAATGGGCTCGGCTCATATATTCGGACAGCCAAGCCAAGTTCATAAAATAATGATCCAATTACAGCAGCAAATGGATAATTAGCTTGCATTATCATTTACCATATTAATCAGTGTCGCCGAAGCTGATTAATTTGCAGGGAGCAGCGCGGGAAGCCACAATCAATGCGCTAACTCGCCAGGCGACAGCAATTCACAACATGCAGCGCATCCGACAAAAACAACGTTAATCCAGCACGTGGTGCTTCCAAAAAAGTCGATGGATGCAATAAAACTCAGAATAAGTCATATAGATAGCAACATCTATATAATGACGAGCGCTATGTTTAGCAAGCTTACATAAGTAGGTCATGATGTCACACATCATCCCCCGGTGACGTGTTGATTCAATTATAAGGAGTGCCATCCATTGCCGTACTACACTGCAGCACTGTATTGCCGAGCTCTGTGTTGCCGATAACATCCATTCATAACGACCCGCTGCACTGTGCCGGCTGTAAGCCCGGGCGGCAGAGCGGCCTATCACGTGCCGGGGTGAGGGGTCATACCGCGTCCCCAGGTCATCGCCCGAGCTGGCCGGCTACTAAACGGGCACACCTCCGGCGGGAGAGAGGGCGCCGGGGACGGGAGTTATAGGGAGAGGGGACAGCAGTGACCGGGGACTGGAGATACAGGGAGGGGACTGGGAATACGAGAGGGGTCACCGCCCGGTAGCCTGGGACTGGTGCTGATTGACCGGGGAGGGATGACGGCTGACTCGAGGACTGAGGTGGCCACAGGAGTGGGCGCGGCAGTGACCCTCGCTCCTGGCACTCGGTGTTTGCTACACTCAAACCGTATGGCCAGACATAATAGAATTTGAGCCACCATCGACCTAAACAAGCTCATAACTATCAGCCATAACGCTCAACTATCAGACTGCATCGGAGGTTGGCCAAAAAAAAAAAAAAAACTAATATATAGGGCCGACAAAGAACATCCCCATCACATTCAATGGCCCATGCACCCCGTCCGCAGGCAGAGGCTGCATAACGTGCCCGCGACGTAACGACCGTCGATTGTAGTCGACCGCGGTGTTTGAGGAGGCGCCAGCCGCCGAGCCGGTGTCGACGGGCCGCCAGCCGCCTCTCCAGGCCGATTGGCCATTGGGCGTCGACTAGACGAGTCGAGTCGAGGGCCGCGGCCGAGGAACGAGCCTTTGTCCGACCACAATCGGGCCGGATTGAAGAACGCCATTTAACGGTGCGCGATGGGGATCGCCGATAACGAGCTGGTGGGGAGTGTGGATTTCGAGTGTGCGCGTGGGGTGGATGTCGGTGTGGCATGGGGGTGGTGTGTGGGGGTGAGTTTGAGTGATGTTACATTACGTTAAAAGCGTTGATCTTTTAGTTGAACTAATGAATTCAATACGTCGTGCCGACAGATTTATTCATCTCAAGACTCAAGACATCGGACGGCAAAGGACAAATTAAGTAACGGGCTATTATAACACAGGTTAACTTTCGAGAGGCTTGAAAATAATGGGCATTGAGCAGCCCTGAAAAGAAAGCATACCCCCGTAGTGGTTTAGTCCGGAATATGATTGAACATTAGCGCCTAAAAAAATGAGAGTGTTCTGCAATTTTGACCACAGCACGGCGCTACTGTTCGTTTGCAGCTACCGTCTGACAGGCCATTACGTGCCCAAAGCCCAGTCTTTGCAATCATTTACCAGCCCTGGTGGTTGGTGCTACCCACCCCTGCAGCTAAGTCGTGAGTGGCGCAGAAGGAGACGCGCACGCAGTATCGAGCGGGCGGCACTCGTTCCCTCCCACATGCATGTTTATGTCGCAGTATGATTCCACTTCTGCTAGCTCCACTTTCAGCAGCCTCTCACTGATAGCGAGTGGGTTCTAGATTTGGTCTGCCTCCCACACATTCCGCGCCCCAGTCGGAAATATCACACTGAAGGAGCTGGTGCGACACAACTCGAGCGAGGCGAGCGCGCCGCGCCGCCGCGGAATGAGGTCCGCTTTATCAGAGGTTGACGGCGAATCTTGACGCTGTACAACACGCTGCGAAAGCGCTCCAGAAATAGTCGCCGACTATTGTCAGTCAGCAGCCGGCACACATAATCACAATGACGTGCGACCGGCGGCTGACCACTCAGCGCCCCTCAGCTCAGCGCCACTCAGCGCTGTCAGCGTGACCCGCGCGGGCAGCTGCGGCACGATAAGCGCCCGAGGAGGTGCCGTGGCGCGAGGCGGCGCTCCCCGGTCACAATCCGGTACAATGGGGCCGCCGGCCGGTCGACACCAGCGCGGCATTGTGGCCGCGGTCCGCCGCTGCCCCGAGCGACAGACGTGGCGGGAGCGCTCCCACACACTGACAGAGATAGGGACAATGGCCGGGACAACGCGGCCGGCGCGCAGGGTGTCGCGCTGGGAGAGACGACACCGGCGGGCGGGGCGACTCGCGGCTCACTGTAACCCAGACACCGGCGGGCGGGGCGACTCGCGGCTCACTGTAACCCATACACCGGCAGGGCGGCGGGTCGGCTCACCGCTCACCGTAACTCACTGAGGGTATGGCCCCGACTCTCTGTAACTCACCGTGTAGCTCACAGACACCGGTAGTACGGTTACACTCACTGCTCGTCATATCTGTATCGCCAATGAGACCTGCTCATACCAGCTGGGGATTAACACTAAAGACGACACATTAGAGCCAAAACAGCGACTGTAATGGTGGTGTTGTCACCTTTGTCCTGTTATCAGCCGTCGATTGGGACAGAACCGGTACGTCATAAAGCGCTGCTCGGCGACGGGCGAAGTCCTGTTGTTGGGAGCCACCGGGCGCCGGTCCCGCCCCTAACTGACCTTTGCAGTGACCCGCACTGACCTGCGCACTGCGCAGTGACCTGAACTGACCCGGTCCTATCCCCCTTCCCTAACTGACCTTTGCAGTGACCCACACTGACCTGCGCAGTGACCTGAACTGACCTGCGCAGTGAGCCGAACTCGAGCCGCAGCAGCTGCCAGAGCTCCGTGCCGAGCTGGTGCAGTTCTGGCGCCGACAGACTGCCCAGGGCGAATACACAGAAAACACAGTCAGATGGGGGCATGGCTCAGACAGAGTATACGGAGCGAAGAGGCAGAAAAGACAGATAAACAGGGTCAGAGGGTGGCACGGCTCAGTCCGACAGATGCAAGGCATACCAAAGAGAAGCACAAAAACAAACGGTACAGCATTGTGAAGTGCGGACGTAAAGCCAACGCGACTGAGAGAATGGTATTACAGAATTGATGGCACAATAATGCACTTTCAAGGGGTGGCGTAGTTTGGTACTTGGCACTATGACCGGGCTGGAAGGTTCACTGACCTGACCTCGGGGGCGGCCAGCAGCAGCACCAGCTCCTCCTGACAGGTCACAGCCACGTGGACAGGTGTGGAGCCCACGGTCACAGCCGCCCTGCCGTACAGCGGGGCATGACACCGTCACACGGCACCGCAAGGCAGCAGACAGCGCCGCAGAACGGCAGCGCAGTACAACGGCGGCGGCGGCGCAGTGGTGCTGGACAGAGAGGATTAGGATAACACGGCGAATCCAGTGTTCACATCAAGAGGTGCAATCGATAAAATGAAGATGGCAAAATAAACTAGGATTGGCGGACTTTGAGCTATTTTAGCAGGTATTTCAATTTTCACTGACTGTTGGCTATAAAATATTACGAAATGGCTCCAATGTATCACGCAGACAGGAAAGCTCAAGCTAACCTACCGAAACTTCACGAAAAGTACTGTTCACGACCGACACTGTTGTCTGAGCGCTAAGCGCCGGCTCACGCCACCCATACAGCCACAGCAGTTCCGCTCCCACCGTCACAGGTCACCGGAAGGGGACAGCTTCCGGCGGCGGCCGTGGCGGAGCGTTCGTCACGGGAGGCGTCAGCGGCAGCGGTCGCCCCCCCCCCCCCGCCCGCCGGGGCCGGGCCGGGGTCGGGGCCGGCACTTTGTCAGTGTCAGCGGCGGCAGCGTGTGACAGAGGCCCGCTGCCCGGAGACGGCAGACAGAAATACGGCCCCGCAGGCGGCCCGGCGACACGGCCGCTGATGGGTGGGCGCCGGGCGGCGCTCAGAACCGGGCCCAGCCGACCGCGCAGACGCCCTCCAGGCAACCAGTAATTATTTAATTTGATGATATCCACAGCAAAAAGGAGTAACGTTTTCAACGGAATTATCAACGTCCACCTTGTAATGTTTGACGATGCCTCGCATTCGCCGGCGACTGGGCACGGCCACACGGTAGCAGCGGCGGCCGGCTGAGCCAGGGCTGAGCGGCGCGGCGGCAGTGGCCTGGTAGGCTGTGCCGCATCGCACCCCTGTCCGCCGGTACGGGCGAGGGCAGGCGGCTGCTCTGCGGCCGCAGTGCAGTCGCCGGGGCCGGGGCCTGTAAGCCGCGCGAAAGCCCGGCGACGTTTAGTAGGTAGGCAGGGATTAGATGCATCTGCTCTTCACTTCAGATTTATAATTGCATATTGCGATTACAGGTCGCTTTCAGCAATAAATGATTCCATGTTGGAGCGCTACTTCAAATCAATAACATAAGCCACGCCTCGATGCAATCTGCGCAGTGGCACATCGTTTTAAATGCTACTTTCCGACGAGGATCGAATAACGCACATCATGTGTGAGATACCAAAAGGCTGATTGAATGTTAAGCTCCACTATTCTAATTTTCAAAAGGATAAAATAAAAGGTGCAAAAGCACAAAAAACAACCAGGCGTCCTAATACCAGCACGGTACCGAGCCGAGGTTTGCGACCCAGACAGGCCTTCAGTTTGCCGCAGTGTTCCGGGCCGTATCCGGCTAAATTGCGACGTCGGGTCAGATCTCGGAGGTGCAGTTTACAGAGCATCTGCAGCCGTCCCACGGCAGCAGAAAACAGCGGCGGCAGCGGCCGCCGGAGGCGAGGTCGGGATGTGTGCCGAAAACACCACCGCCGGGGACGACACGACAAAACAATTACCGCGCGCTGAAAGCTCGGCTCTAATTGCGTTACGGCGTGCCGCACCATCAAGCGTCTGTTGGGCGCCCACAAAGTTCGCAGCGAGTGCTGCAGCGCGCTGTCCGACACCGGCAAACGAGCGGCGGCTACCAGAGGGAGAACCCCCCCCCCCGCACAGAACCCCACCACCCCTGGCGGAGACCGGCCCCTCCCGCACGGACGAAAACCAGACACCAGAACCGACCCAATCACCGGGCACAGAATGACGGACAGCAGGCTGGATGATTTTGATTTGGCGGACGGCGCGATTTCAGCGGCCGTTCAATCGCACACGCCCGGCGGATCACGTCTGTATGCGGTCGAACGCAAATCTCTGGTGATGGCAGGTCGGGTTCGGGCTGGCAGACAGAGCGGATGGAATAGGGATGAGACGGTGGTCCAGAGGGAGGGATGCCCGGGACAGAGCGGGCCACCGTGGTGCGGAGGGCACGGGGCAGAGCGGGGCAGAGCGAGTCACCGTGGTGCGGAGGGCACGGGGCAGAGCGGGCCACCGTGGTGCCGAGGGCACGGGTCAGAGCGGAGCAGAGCGAGCCGCCGTGGTGCGGAGGGAGCGGGGTAGAGCGCGCCGCCGACAGTCTGTTTACCCACCAGATTACCGCCGGGCGGTTCATTAGCGCTGTTGTCACGGTAAAAGTTTGCAGTAGCCCATCCTGGCAGTCCACCGACCAAGTCCACCGGGCCCGGGGTGGACAAGGGCGAATCACCGATACGAGTCAATGACTCAGCTGAACGGCAAATGACAGATATATGTCGTCATTAAATCCGCAGCGTATGGGCTTGTCAGTTGTCTAATGTCTTACGACGATGCAATTCTGCAATTCTGTCGGGGAAATAGAATGGAGAACAGACGAAATTCGTCTTGCATATATGTTTACTGTTCACATTCACCGTCCAAGCTAGTTAACGAACAGCATTTCAGTGGAATCGGATACATTTGCAAGAAAACGATTGAGTTCCTATTTAACAGAAAATCTGTATACTCCACCGAGCGCGAAGCGGCATATCGTTTCAAGTCAACCACAGAAGGAACTACAATGTCGCTGCGTTGACTCGATATGTCACTTCAATTGTAACAGAGCGAGAGCACTCGAACGAATTGAGGGGCTTATCTGAGAGTTGAGCCGGAGCCCTCCGGGAGCGATCAGCCTGACTGGTGACCCGCCATCGGGCGACTAACGGATGAGGGCCGATTCCAATCGGTGCTGGCCTTGTAACCAGTAAATAATGCATGGTAATGCACAGTGCATGCCGTCTAAGCCGTATTTACAGTCGAGCGGGCGGCGTGGCGTGATGGTCCAGATGCAAATAGGGACTCGGGGTTTGAATGAGCTGGAAATCCTACTACTGCTTGGGATGGTAAATAGAGCCCGTGTTGATCCTGCATAGCGCTATACCAAGAAATATAGCTCATTAGGTGGCGCTTTAATTACAAATGTCGCGGCAGACCCATTGGACAAATGAGGCCAGCGGAAGACACTAGAAGTTGAGCCTTCTCAGGTGTGCCTGCAACTAACTAAACATGTGAACCAGGTGGCAAACTTGTCATTTTCGTCTCTCTAACGGGGCTCAGTAAACCACTATGGTGTGTTCACAGCACAACGCATGTCGGCGCTGACAAACGGCACTGCAGGGGCGGATCCAGAAAATATCCAAGGGAGGGGCCATTAGAAACCAGGAGGCCCCCATAATCCCACCTGTTGGAGGCCCCATCTTCCCACTTGTTGGCCCCCCCCCCAAAAAAAAAAAAAACTGCGTCTATTGAGCTTATCTAGCTGTTCAGGCAGCATCTCAACATGAATAAACGAATTATGAAATAAATGAACGAACGAGAAATAACTAAGTGGGTAGGTTAAAAAAACTCATCGGATTTCGGCCACTTTATTTTCAGGAGGCCCCCTTTTCAGCTTTTTAACTTTTTATTTTATTTTTGAAAAAAAATCAAAAATCGGCCAAGGGGGGGGGGCCATGGCCCCCATGGCCCCCCCCCCCCCCTTGTATCCGCGCCTGCGGCACTGGCTGCCGATCATAGTGATTCCTGGAATTCGGTCCCAGCTGCATTAAATAGTGACCTAACCCCTCTGGCTGGGGAGCCGGGTGACCCAGCCCCGCCGGCTGGGGGACCGGGTGACCCAGCCCCGCCGGCTGGGGGACCGGGAGACCTAACCCCCGCTGGCTGGGGGACCGGGAGATCTAACCCCTCTGACTGGGGGACCGGGACACCCAGCCCCGCCGGCTGGCCGTGAGGATGGAGCGGCCTGTCCCTGCCGTCGATGGGGACGGAGCGGCCCGTCCGCCCCCGTTTGTCTCCCCAGCTGGCCGGCGGCCAGCGGGTCCGGCTGCCAGCTGAATATTATCCAAACCAGATGCGCTGATGACGGCCGCATCCATTATGACAATGGACGCCGGCAGCGATCAGACGGCCGATGATCCAGCGGCCTGTCCGGGACCGGTGTCATGAGTGACGGCCGGCGCCGATCGGCCGCGACGCAGGCCCGGACAGCCGGGTCACAGCGGGCCAGCCCACCCATCTCCCGGCCAGCCGGGTCACAGCGGGCCAACCCAGCCATCTCCCGGCCAGCCGGGTCACAGCAGACCAACCCTCCCACCGCCGGCCAGCCGGATCACAGCCCAGCCAGCCCACCCATCTCCCGGCCAGCCGGGTCACAGCGGGCCAACCCTCCCACCGTCCATACACAACCACATCACAGAGAGGCCAACCCAGCCACCGCCCGGCCAGCCGGATCGCAGCAGCGGCGAACTCCGTACGCAGCCGAACCATAGCATAGCCAGCTGCATCGCAGAGCGGACCGCCCATGGACCAGGCAGTCGCACCACAGCCGCCATTTGCAGCGTCACTAGCACACCTGATCATCCTTAGTGGAGCTTTATTCAAAGAGAGACACGGCCCTGCATATGACTCGTGATTGCTTTCTTTTTTCCGGCATTTGCTTTGATTAAAACGTCTCAAACGTAAGGGAATCGTCAAGACACATGAAAAATGAAGTATGGACACGGCTACAGGCACGGAAATCACAGCACACGACAAAAAGCTACTCACCTGACCGGAGTATCCCCTGAGATCTGCTTGGTCAGACCCGCGACAGTGAGCAGCGCGCCGCGGGCAGACAGCAGCGCGGTGTCGTACCCGGGAAACTGGTACACCTGAACAGACACAGGGACAGGGGTTAGCGGCGGTACCGCAGTACACCTGAACAGACACAGAGACACGGGTTAGCGGCGGTACGGCAGTACACCTGAACAGACACAGAGACACGGGTTAGCGGCGGTACCGCAGTACACCTGAACAGACACAGAGGCAGTGGCTAACGGCGGTACCGCAGTACATAAATCTGAACAGACACAGAGACACGGGTTAGCGGCGGTACCGCAGTACATAAATCTGAACAGACACAGAGACACGGGTTAGCGGCGGTACCGCAGTACACCTGAACAGACACAGGGACACGGGTTGGCGGCGGTACCGCAGTACACCTGAACAGGCACAGAGACACGGGTAAGCGGCGGTACCGCAGTACACCTGGACAGACACAGAGGCACGGGTTAGCGGCGGTACCGCAGTACACCTGAACAGACACAGGGACACGGGTTGGCGGCGGTACGGCAGTACACCTGGACAGACACAGAGGCACGGGTTAGCGGCCGTAAAGCAGCACACCTAAACAAGCACAGGATTGGTCACATGACACCCATTCAACGTGATAAGCTATTGGCCTGTAGCATAATTTCAAAAAGAAATTGGATGTTTTTCCCTCAAAATGGGTCCGCGGTGATAATACTTTTCAGTGGTGGTACACGAACGTGATGCCATCGGAGCCCGCCTTGCATTTAATTTCAAGCAAAGCAGCTAGCCGTTTTCTCCCAGCTTGTCGGATCAGCCAGACGGTGTATGACGGCACCCCGTCCCGCCAACTGTGGCCATGCCCGGCGCGTGACCTGTGCCGCGGGGGGCGGGGCACCGCTCAGCACCCATCGTCCTCCCACCAGCGTTCGCCTCCACCGACCCATACCGGCGACATCGACCGTCCCTGACACCGGCCCGCACGGCACCGGGGGCGACGCCGCGCGGATCGCCCACGTACGCGCCGCACATCGGTCTTTATCAGTGCCCGGCGGGGCGCCGCCAGAACGGCACGGTCCGGCCCCGCTGCCCAGTTCCGGGGCACGTGTCTGAGGCAGGGCTACACAGTCCATAGTCCACACGTCTCCCAGTTTAGGAAAATATATCTGGTGGCGGGGATACACCGAGCGGTACAAACAGAAAGACAACGTGGAGGAGGGAGGAGTAACTAGCATGATTCAGTGGCATGGAACTGTGCAGATATTTTGGCAGAAAAAAAAAACATGAAAGCAACATAAAACTACTTTTCCTGATCATTCTTTAGATTATGGCTGCTGGAGCGCTGGAGCATGGAGAAGTGACAGAGGAAAATATTGTAATCCATTTCCTCAATCGTCGCCTCAAAACATTATGTCGGGCGAGCTCGGCAGCTTTACAGCTTTCAAAGCGAGGCTGCTGATTCAGACCAGAAATTCCAGCACACGGCTGGCGCACCGAAAGCCTCCTATCTACAGGGTGTCCCATAAGTTCGTTCTCACCTAAATTTTACGTTTTTAAGCTTTCTTGCTTAAAGGCACGCTGAAATTGGTTCATAACTGAGCTTACATGGTTGCCATGGCTGGTAGAAATATGCTCCACAGTAGCTAATTTCTGTAGACAAAATAGTTTTTGCTAGAGAGCCCGCTTCCTACAGAGACGGCTAACGCCGCAACATAGAGGTCTCCGATACGGGTACGTCTCAGTATTTAGTCAGCACGTGACCATTCGCGACGATTGAGGGTGATTGAGGCCTACCAGTCTGTAGCCAATATCCATCGCTAACTGGACGCACAGTCAGCAAGTGACGCCGATGATTTGTTGGGAGTCAATAACTGCAAGTTTATCCTCTTTCTAGCCAGCCCTCAGGAATGAGCCAAGTGGCCAAAACTGTGTGGCGCCAAAGTGGCCATCAAAAAGGTCAAAGGGCTAGAAAGTTGGTAAACAGACTTTTCAGGATGGATTACCAGCTGTCTAAGAGTGTTCTTTCGGGGTACATAACTCAAGGTGACTTAAGCTTTGCTTACCGGAGGGCTCAAAACAGTCAAAAACGTCTTAAAATGGCCAAACATGAGTTTCGTTATGCCTGAGGCTAAACAAAACTAGAGGGCTGATGACATCAACCAGGTCATCTGGACTAACTAGTCCACGTTCGAGATGAAACACCCGTCCAAACCCGAAAACAACCCCATAAGGGCGAAGGAGGAGGCCTTCATTTCGTCCCGTTATGTTCCTATGCAAAAGGCCAGGGTCACTGTGTTGTGGGGTTATAGGCGTTCTGGAGTTGATCAAGTTACAAGTGGCAACCCGGAAACAGTTTTGGGAAGCAGAATGCTTTTCCAAGAACATCTAGGAGGAATTTCAGCCCTCAAGCTGAACTCGAACCGCGAGTATGAACACATTTATAGAGGAGAAAATGGCATCCGGGAGGTCGTAGGCCCATCTTCAGGCAAGACAGTGCATCAGTGCACAGGTCAAGCAAAGCTTAAAAGCGGTGCAAGGAGACTTTGACAGGCGTTTGTGGCAAGATCACATGCCAGGCACCTCATCGGATCAAAATTTCATAAAAATCTGTTGGTTATGCTGAAGTTGAGGCTCGTTGAAGCGTAGCGCTGTTCCAGCCTCGAGGAGCTCACGGCGCATGTCAAGTCAGTCTGGGTTAACTTTAAGCCTGCTATGCAGCCAAACATGCCGGTTGGCATGCCGCAGCATGTATTCATGTGTTTGCCTATTAAATGGGGAGCACATTGAGAGGTCATAAATATACCAAAACGCAATGTACTCTGTTTCACATGCAAACATAATGTGAGAACGAACTTATGGGACACCCTGTAGATTGCGGCGCGCCGCTCACTGTGCCGAGCGGGCTGCTCTCCGCTCACACTCGGCCTGTATTCGGCCGGAGAGAGCCGGTGCCGGCCGGCCGTCAGACCACGCCTGACAGCCCGCATCACCGACACATGTTACCCTATCGCGGCCATCGATCGCACGCCACCAGTTCGGCAGCGGCCGCGCCGAAATCGGGCCGCGCCCGCCTCAAATAGGACGCCCTGTTGACACAGAGAGCGCTGACGCGGCTCCGAAATTACCGACACGCTACCGGACCAGCAGCGGACGACACCCAGCGGCCCTCGGAGGCTGACGCGTGCGGAAACGGAACGGAGCGGGCGGCGCTCCCGGGCAGCCACATATCACGCATCGATTTCCGCAACAGTTCGTGCTGATTTATGCATCAAAATTGATGTCCAACGATGATTAAGGGTCAGTCTCACCTCGCGGTCAAAGCCGTGCAATGAAGCAGTTAAAATTCAGTAAATTAACGCAGGCCGATAACGATGATTCCCGAATCCATTTAAGGCTATAACTTACAAACGGTTAGCGTCATCAGGCCATTCGTCTTTCCGACAACATTCAGTTACCTGCTAAGGTTGCTGGCATTGCCTTTTCAGAAGGAAATGCATGACATAAAACGATGCACTACCTATATCTGTAAGTATGTAGTTATTATCGTTGGACGTGTTAAACGTTAAGTTTCAGCCAATCATGGCTGGCAGACGTGGACACGGCGACGACAGCAGAAATCACGACAAATACCTACCGATGGCGACGTAAAAAGTAGCGGCTTCTCCGAACCGACCATTTGCGCTACCACGTGTAATCCTGGACGTGTGGATTAAATGGGCACGGTACATTTGAGGGCTCTGTCCGACTGTGGCAGTGTTTCTTCATTACCACTTCCAGCTGCACATTAGCAATCCCGCGGCGCGGTTCAGCAGGCTCGTTTGGAGCGAGTAATTAATGAAGTCCCGAAATGGCCGCATTTCTCAGCGGTCGGCCGGAACGTCATCGCTGCCGGGCGGCGGCTGCTTCCTATCGCGCCGCCGGCACCGGATGGAATCAACAGTTCTTGCCGGCGCATTGGGCGCCCAAATGGACGGCCGTCCGTCTCAGCCGGCGGGTACGGAGCGACGGGGGCGGCACGGCCGAGTGGGACTCGCGGCAGCACGGCCGGGTGGGACGCGGGCAGCACGGCCGAGCCATAGACCGCCGGCCGGTCTGAGGCGGAAATTACCACCGACTTGGCTTGCGCTGGATCGGTCAAACCGGGCAGAGCAGCGGGACAACGACATACCAGCCAGCCAAGCCCGGCCCAACCGGGCCATGCGGCAGACAAGGGCGGACTTCGAGCTGATGATCCACAGCTCAAAATATCAGATTGTGATTCGTGACATCTGTAGTTTGCAAACCAAACTAATACCCACTTGAATAAAGGCTTTGGACATGACTAAGATAAGAGAGGTAAGCTAGTAACAACGACGTGTTCTGCCGATCAGTAACTGCACAAGTGTTACTGTCACCCGAGAAAAAGATAATATAACGAAGCGTTCGTTGGTTTATCTTTGCGATGCATTATTGCTGAATTAATTTTTCCCACCAGCACCACCTAGCTTCTTTTCGCTAGGGCGTCGGAGAACTTACACCAACCTTCGCAGTCCTAGACTCTTCAACGTTCATAATTCAGTCAGAAGCCCACCGCGCATCGCTGACGAAATGCCAGGTCTCAGACGAAAACGCCGTTACACAGGATTGGATGGAAGTTTCATGAAATGGCCCCAAGGCACATCGCAACAGGCGGAAAAGATTTCACGAGCCGGCGGCGAGAATTCAGCGAGATGAATTCCGCTCACGGAAGATGAGACCCTCCTTTCTCAGAGCTCATGAATGCCACGGGTCAGTTCAGCACAGCAGTGTGATTGCCCGAGCAACTCGACACCCCGATGCCGCCTCCCGAAACACTCTTCCCGGAGTGTTCCCCGCCCTCCCAGGCCCGCAGCCTCTCCACGATAAGCGTCAGGGCGCGGGGCCGGACGGCCATTTACTCCGGCGGCGGTGTCGGACAAAGTTGCGGCGGTGCTGAGTCAGTTAGGGCCGGTTTACGAGCGCCCGACGGCTGTGTCGAGAGCTAACGGACCGCGGACGACGTCCCCTTACTCAGCCCGACAGCCCCGCCCAACACGGGTCGGGAGCGGTTTGAACGCATCAGGTGAAGCCGGCGCGGCGTGGCCGACCACAGCAAAACCAGACCAGACCACAGCGGATCAGACCGCGGCAGATCAACAGGGCGATCAAGCAGAACAACAGCGACAAGCAGAACGATCACAGCGTCCATCGCGATCTCGATAGCTACAAAGAGCGATCCGACATGGCGAGTCGAGTTAAAACCCGTGATAGTACTTACCTTTAAAAAGGAGCTACATGCCATTGGGATACCAATAGTAAAAGTGTTGTGAGTGGCGAGCCTCACTCCTCAGCTCCACCACGGCCCATCCGTGCGATCCCAGCCACCCCGGCCCGAGCGTCCGGCCCAGAGTGGCACTCAGGTCCGGCCGCCGCTCCGCTCCGGGCCGGGCCGGGCGCGGCCAACCCGGTCCGAATTAGGCCCGGCCGTGCTGCATTATGGAGCAGCCACCGGCCGATCCCGAGCTAACTGATATCTGAGCCGCGCCGGCTGCAAATAAACCACTGGGCCCGGGTCTGCTAAATAAACCAGCGCGGCGCCCGATGGACGGACCGACGGCCAGCAGACCGCGGCGGCCGGTCGGCAGGGCCGCGCGCGCTGCAAAATAGACAACCGCTCCGCCCCGCCCATTATGTAACGGCCGATTGGGAGCATCGACTGAACGGAATATTTCGTTTTCGGCTGACTTCCACCGTGCCATTATTAAACGGCGCCGTTCTGGTCGCCTCTGAACTGTGTGTCATTAACGGAGAACTAATTTGCACCACTTGTCAGCGTATGACAGCTCATTAACCCTCGCCGGCCGAGGGGGGGGGGGCGGGTGCCGCCCCCCCCCCCATAGGGTTTTTTCGCGATAGCTCCGAACACGCTGGCGATAGAGAGCTGAAACTTGGCATACCTGACCTTTGATCCAAGCCGCATCTTTTGACACCAACCGCATTTTTGGGTCAGGTCAGGTCACTGACCTATGACGTCATAAGTGAACCTCTGCACGGTCTTCAGATGTCGCAACTTCGCAACGCCCTCACTGCCAGAGGAGATGTCACAGGGAAATGAAACTTGCAGGATCTAGTATCCATTATGAGTCCCACAACTTGTATATCTCGGATTTTTCCTAAAGGTCATATGAGGTCAGGTCATTTTCGTGACCTCACCATTATAAGTCAATGGGGAAAAATGAAAACTGCTATTCTGGCGCCGGGAACCATCTCCAACTATCTCAAGCACACAGAATCGTGATTTGATGCACTCCTTGCAAGGATAGATGCGTCACTTTTGCAATGTTGACCTTGTGTGACGTCATTTATGACGTCATCAAGGTCATATCAGTTTTTCGTCAATAACTCTTGATCAAATTGAGCTAGCGAGTCGGGAAAGCCACCAATGGACTCAGGAAGACCTGCCGAATCGAATGATATGCGACATGACCCCTTTCGACCAACTTCGTGACCTGGGGGTGCTGACCTGACCTTGACCTGAGGTCAACACCCCAAGTTGACCTGACCCAGACAAAAAGTATATCATTCGACGCGCCTGAGCGAGACGAACACGATGCTGCCAAAATCGGCGCTCTGCGGCCGTTTTTTGCGAAGTTATTCACCAAAAACTGAACCGTACCTTGGGGCACTTGACCTGACCTCAGAGGTCACCGGTTGACCTAGGACCTTAAAATCGGGTACCAATCTCTGCGTCTCGTAACGGCGCACACGCTCGTTTTTTCCGCGACGCGCTAGCTCCACCAGGGGCGAAACGGCGAGGGGGGGGGGGTCGTACCCGCCCCCCCCCCCTCGGCCGGCGCGTATGTAGAAAACCAATAGGTCCGGCGAGGGTTAAGACAAAATGAACTTGGACTCAATATTGTAGCACCCCATGCAGACAGCCACGAAATGGCGTCTTCCATATGCATCCATAAGTCATCACCAGTGTACTCAGTGTACTGCAATTTCAGGCCATGCATCATGAAAATAGATTATAAGGCACCTTTGTCAAGTAGTTCTAAAAGTCAAACCCAAACTTTAGCCATGTCACCTGAGGAAAACCTGATGAGGGAAATCCAGCAAAAGTGATAAGGACATCACTGTTGATAAGTTTCGGTGGCTTCGATGTAAGCAACCCATGGCATCATCTGCACCAAGTCTGCTTAGTGGAATGTCAAGGAGACACTTTCTTCCGGCCCAAAAACCATTCAGAAACTGTGTGTTTTAAGTGACATTTTCACCCAAATGAGGTTACTATTATGAACTTTTCGGCTTTCAACTTTTAACTAATATAATTATTCAAACCTGGTTGAAAGCCGAAAAGTTCTTAATAACATTCAGGAACTGTTATACGATTTTCGAGGTCCCTTAAGCCATGCTGCATTAAGGACACCCCTTGCTCGGTGCTCAACTCCTTTCAGTTTATTTCCAGCAGAAGTCGCCACCTGTGGCGGGCTCACCACACCTCCGTCCGTCCCTCCCCTCCCTGTATCCGTCTGTGGTCCCTGCGGCTCGGCCCGACCACCGCCGTGTCGCCGCACAAGTGGTGACGAGCGGCGTCCCTTTGACACTCTGAGAGGCCGCCCGTCGCCCCATCGATCACACACACACAGAGACAGAGGCGGGCAGCGCGCCGGCCGAGCCATTCATCGACATCGACCGCAGGTGACGGCAGGTGAGCGCTCGACGCCGCGACCGCGGCCGAACCGGGCGCCACTAATGCGACAGGTCGGCCACAGTGACAGGTCCAGAGCGCACCATCCAGCCGGGTGGGAGCTGACCGCCGCCCGCCGCCGTCCGCACGGGAAGACGAGAGGCCACACAAGTAACGCACACAGCTATTAAGTCGAGCAATTCATCGTCGACGTCACCATATCACTCGAGCGGTCACATTGCCGATAGTCACGCACCCGGTTACAGGTGCGCCCGCGTGTGTGCGCCCGCGATGTCCCTCTCAGTCTCGTCACTCAGGCGCCGAGTCCCGCCGCGCCGGCCCGGTGGTAGCAGCCAGCAGCGCGGCGGCGGACTTGCAGCTCCAGGACAGATTGCACTCATAAATCATACATGGCTCGTCAAAACGCTGACCGGGATAACGATGAGCCGTCCAGGCCGTGCCTACCGTATGTTCGTGTATGCGGCATCAAGGTGCAAACACGACTTCGATTGTATTAGTTTCCCGGCAATGAAGTTAAGTCGGTATTGTCTGTTCCAAAAAGTCCGTTATCGAAGACTATTTCAGCCCTCTAAAGAACACTTTATTTCAGCGCAAGAATGGAAATAAACAATGGGGATTTATCAAGCGTGAAGCGGGATTAATTTTTTACCTTTGATCTATTAATGAACACAAACCTTGCATTTATGATATAGCCATAATGAAATGTATATAAGAATGCAAGGGCTTTTAGGAAAATTGCAATGATTATATAAGGATACAAGCTTTCATTTTACTGGGTTTCTTTATATTAAGTATTCACTCCTCATAACAGTAAGAGCGTAACAGGGCTTTGCAACAACCAGACCGGTTCACCTAACAGCTCATGGCCGCTACTGCTCACTCCTCGAAGGATAGGTGCAGGATGCCCCACAACCCTGCAACATTCTGCCAACATCGAAATGCTCACCAATGGTTCACATTTCAAACACGACGTCTGAAGGGACACGAAGGCTCGCATGGAATCCAGAACAAGTTGTCAAAAGGATTTGTGCAAATTGGACCGGATGGCAGACGGAGACGTCTGTGGTCTCTGTAATGGCGTGTTACAGCACGATACAATGTAGCGTGGCCGCGGTGTGTCATTTACAAAGAGAAATGTGACGGCCTCAGAGCTCCGGTCCGTGACGGGCATGGGACCGATGCTACCCTGTTCGTGATGAGAATTGCATTCAAAATAGGATAGTACAGCTGCACAAATCATTTTTGGTGTGCCACTTGGCATGCAATAACATACAATGGATAAGACAACTTTAAGTTTGGCCTTGCGAGAACTTTTAAGCACCCCAAAAAACACCCCGGGAGCCCACGTCACCCGTCCGCAGCCCAGCACCATGGTTGGACGGTTCTCACCACCTGTGCCCCACCGCTCAGAGGAGGTCTCCCGCCGCACAGCTGGACAAGGTCCCACCCCGTTATGGCGGTGCTCTATCCTGACGCCCTGGCGATGTCTCTCACCCCGTAACGGCGATGCCCTATGTCCCTCACCCCGTCCCTGCGGTACTCACGATATCCTGCCCCGTTCCGGCGGTCCTGTGGCGGTGTCTCCCACCCCGTTACGGCGGTGCTCTATCCTGCCGCCATGGCGACGTATCACCCCGTTCCGGCGGTACTCTGACAAATGTCCCCCACCCCGTCCCTGCGGCCCTGTGACGATGCCTCCCACCCCGTTCGGGCGGTACTCACGATGTCCTGCCCCGTTCCAGCGGTACTGTGGCGGTGTCCCTAACCCCGTCCCTGCGGTACTGTGGCGGTGTTCCCCACCCCGTCCCTGCGGTCCTGTGACGATGTCTCTCACCCCGTCCCCGCGGTACTCACGATGTCCTGCCGCTCCGGCGATGTCCCCCACCCCGTTCCGGCGGTCCTGTGACGATGCCTCCCACCCCGTCCCTGCGGTACTCTGGCGATGTCCCCCACACCGTCCCTGCGGTACTCACGATGTCCTGCCGCTCCGGCGATGTCTCGGTGAGGCCCTCCGTGCTGAGACACAGCAGTCCGTAGGGCACGCCGCGCAGCAGCCGGCCGAGCTCCTCCAGCGGCAGGCCGTCCCCGGTTAGACTGGTCACACGGCCCTCATCGGACGGTGACGAGACCGTGGTAGTGGCGGCGGCGGCGGGGTCGCCACCAGAGGCTGCCTGTGGAGGGAACGGCATTTTATCATCTTGAGTTTTTCGCGTATCATCTGCGGAAATTCTATAAACGCATTCCATCAAACTTTCGTGACAACACGTTATATGAAGACAACACATACATACACAAAACATAGGTGTTTAAGGAGATTGTGGCTAAAACCCAGATAATCACGCGATCCAAGAACACCGAAACGCATGCTAGTAGACGATGATGAGTGTACACTGTGTTGTACACGGCTTCCGGCATTCCGGGCAGAGTAATCCATGTCTGAGCCCGCTATATTGGTACTGCCATGATCAATGACTGAATGCATGAGTAATCCGGCGTTTCAGCCATATTTCGCTCCGATGGAATGGATCCAGCTACCGCGGCGCACTTTGGCCCAGTAATACGGCGCTATCCATTGTCTGCGTAATTCATTGGCCGTTCGTCTTCGTGCTGACGGCAGTGCGCAAACGGTGGGAAATTCTGGGAGATTCATGTCGGCAAATAGTCCAGTGGTGGAGATATGATTGAATCGTCTACATCAGCAAACAAAATGGAATGAAAGTACGTGCATATTGCATAAGCATTAAGCATGGACAGAAGTAAGAAAGGAATTAAGTGTAGCATCATAACACACTGACGTCTTTAAAAATGTCTTCAATTAATACCTTCCCCTGAGAAAGCTCACGTTCGTGTTCCTTTAAAGGGACCCTCCCACCTTAACATTAGATTTGAGTTGAGATAGCCAAAATGGGGTCCCTGGCTCACAATTACCGGTTTCGGCACTCACAACATCGAGAAATGCCTTAAATCGGAAATATTGAATTTCAAAATTGCAGCATTTTGATTCAGAGGGGCTAATGCTTAGGAATACCCCTCTGAATGTGTGACGTCAGCGCAAATATCTAACGATTTTTAAATGTTTGACTAAAACATTTTGTAGCACGCGGTGGTATATGCTATTTGCGCGCAACATCTGCCGCAAACGCCGCACTTCTAAAATAAAGTCGCTAGAAACAGCGGAGATCCCAAAAAAGTAAACAAAAGTAAAAGTCTAATATCTTGAAAACCGGTGAATATTTTTCGGTGAAATTTGGTAGATATTCGTTTTCGCTCTTTCTGAACCGAGCGACATCACTTTCATGCCAATTCATAAACTTTTTTGAAGGTGGGAGGGTCCCTTTAATAAAGGAATCATTTCGGCAGCCTACATACATATGTATAGCCTACAATGTCGCCTGATACCGTTATTTCTAGCTGCAAGCCACGCCGCAACATGGCATTTGACAGTGACCGCCTGGCCTTGCCTGATAATTCAAATAATTCACACGTTCACCGAGGCACAATAACTTTTCATGACATATACACCAAATGTCTAGGAGGATTTATAGCACAGCATGCCAGATGAAATGAAGATAAATCCATGGGGCCAGCAAACCAAATAAACTAAACAATGTCTCGCAAACCAGAAACAGAATAAAGCGGAGTTCAGAAAGAGAAAAAGAGAGGGAGAGCGCAGGAGAGAGCACACAAGAGAGAGAGCACACAAGAGAGAGAGAGAGAGAGAGAGACAGGAGAGAGAGAGAGAGAGAGAGAGAGAGAGAGAGAGAGAGAGAGAGAGACAGGAGAGAGAGAGAGAGAGAGAGAGAGAGAGAGAGAGAGAGAGAGAGAGAGAGAGAGAGAGAGAGAGAGAGAGAGAGAGAGAGAGAGAGAGAGAGAGAGAGAGAGAGAGAGAGAGAGAGAGAGAGGACCCAGTGTGAGTAAGATACATTGAGAAAGAAGGAAAAGCTTCCGAAAGTGAGACAGCAAGAGAGACGGGAGAGGAAATGGAGGAGGAGAGGGAGAGGCGTAGAGTGAAGACGCATGTCAAGGTTCATGGCGCCACAGCCCAAGTCCCGGGAACGGTATCTCATAAACTGCAGCACTATGATGGCGAAAATTCAGAAATTTTCCTGGTGTCGGATTTAGAACCGGGTCCGTGCGATTTATGTGGCTTTATTCACTTTATCGCCTCTTAACTTGTCATTGACAACTCAATATCGCCACGAAATGGTGAAAGGAAGATAAAATGGAAGTAGAGGCAGACGTTCCAGACTCCCGGAGGACATCAGCGATGGAAATGCAGCCTCGAAATGGATGTCACAAAAACGGCTGCCCCCAAACACGGAGAGATAGCAGGCCCATCGCTAAGGTCCTCAGACGTCAGAACCACAGACGCCACTGGGACCAGCCGACACAACAGAAAAGTATTCGCGCGGCAGCCCCGGCAGAACAGCGCCAGCTCAGTGCATCTGGACCACGGTAGAACAGAAACAGTGCTGTGGGGCATTTGTGTGGAATAGGCGGCATCAGGAAGTTACACTTTAGCTTTGGACCAACGGACCCAGGCTTGACCCAGATAAGATAAATGCCAAATAAAATATTTCAACCACACAACATTTATTAGTCTCAAATTTCAGAAAACTACGCTACTTTAAGGTCATATGTAGTGAACCTGTCTTTATTCTTAGTTTCCTTTCCCGCTACCGGGAGTTTAGAAGCAATGTGCAGAATGATTAACTTCATTGAAGATGCATCCATTCTTCTAGGAGATATACATAGTGAGAAAAACGACAGACGACAGCGGAAGTGGAAATATCCCTCCGAGTTGCGGGTTCGTGACTAGGTTCCGCGTCGGGCCTCTCAGCCTCTCCCAGTTGTTTACCCCGCACCATCACACTCCCAGGGAATACAGATTGCCCGCCCCGCTCCCGCCCCGGGCCACCAGTCGGTGAGGGATACCGACCGAATTTGACAGCAGCCCGCTCCCGGCTGACCGGACTAAGCTGACTCGCCGACCCAACGGGGAGGCCGCGACACAATATTTTACACAACAAAAAGATATCGATGCCCGGTGATAGATGGCGGGCCAGCGGCGCGCCGGCGGCTTACGTCATGTTGTTTATCGCATCCAATAAATATCGCTGGCAGTGATGAGTTTGGTGGCAAATGGGTCTATTCAGACGGACCTCCGCTGCCTCCTGTGGCCGACAGATAAAATGGCACGGAGCGCCGGCGCAGCGGCGGCCAAAGCAGCCGCGCAACCGGCCAGGCACAGATTACCAGACCCGATGAGGCGTTCCAGCAAAACACAACAAAACACTAAACAGATGGCTTCTGCTCGGATGAAATTGCAAATGATACTGCGAATAAGCATGCAAGATAAAAAGGATACATGTAGTCGAAACCCGAATTCTTCCGAGGACAGTGGAAATTACTGATGCATCTGTTCATACATCAGTCCCGAAATGGTCCCCGGCACGGACCACTCTCCACCTGAGGCGGACTCCACAGCCCGCTCCGGCCTGTGGCGTGCCGCGGCGCGGGCGTGGGCCGTGATCGCGGGCCGCCCGTCACGGCCCAGACGGGACTCACGGGGCCGTGACGGCAGCCGACCGGCACAAACACGACAGACAGAGGCGGCACAGACAAATGAGCCCGCCGAAATGCAAAGGCCCCGTCCAGACCAGGATATATTGCGGGAAACTGCGCAGATGCTGGAACATAAAATAAACCAACATAACATGTGAAATGCGATGGGGAGTTAAAAATAACTTACGAAGATATACGAGCTCAACGATCTAATTTAAGTTAATGTTACTGCATCTAGCTATATTGTTCAACACATGGGCATTCCTTTTAGCGTGACACATATCCTTTCCAAATAGAAAACAGCAGGGCCCATTTAAATTTTTCATCGCATCACTGGCTCGGTGCACATACAGGGTGCGGAAAAAGTTCTGTCATATGCATGCTAATCTCGCCTACGAGCGCTGCGGTTGAGTTCTGGGCAGCGAATAGCCGCAGGCGTGACCTTCGGTGACCTAGCCACCTGGCTGGAGGGCAGAAACTACCAGCTGTTCACGGTCAGTCATGAAAAGGCAGGCTAAACGACGCCTCGTCGCTGGGTGTCTGCGCGTGGCGGCCAAATCGGGCATGGCCGATAAGCAGGTTGCGGCAAAATGTGGAGTCACCTGGCGAACAGTCATGCGCATTAAAGCCAAAATACGAGCAGGGGAGACCAAGGGGGAGACTGTCGATCCGATGGTTCGATTCAATCCGGTGAATAAACATCCACAGAAAGTGATGGTGCTCGGCGTGGTGGGTTCGGACGGCAAGAAGTGCCCGATGCTCTTCATTGACGCCAATGAGAAGGTGAAGAGGGTGGTGTACGAACGTCTCCTGAACAATGACGTCATCCCATGGATCCTGAAGACCTATCCACTCGGCAATTTTGTGCTCCAGCAGGACGGAGCGCCCGCGCACACTGCAAGTTCCACCCAGCAGAAGCTGACGGAAGAGCTCGGGGGAGGCCCATTTCTGACGCAGGGAGATGTGGCCTCCTCAGTCACCCGACCTGAACTCCCTCGACTACGGCATCTGGAGCGTATTGCAGGAGGAGGTCCAGGGAGTGTCCCATCCTAATGTGGAGGCTCTCAAGGCGCACATCGTGAAGACGTGGGAGGCGATGGACCCCGGCTACATCTTCAAGACATGCCAGTCTTTTCACCCCTGTGTGGAGAAGGTCATCACCGCTGAGGGGGGTTATATTGAGTGAGGGGGGAGTAAAAGCATGTGGTAAGATGTGGCAAACCAGTGTTCGGTGGTTTTATTGAATATAGCTGCTCAGGTTGCATTTGTTTGTGAAAATGCGGAGATATGACCAGAACTTTTTCCGCACCCTGTAAGGCTAAGAGTCATCCCAGTGTTATTCAACTCGGCAGCCGGCAATCAGCAGCGCCCTCCTTACACCGACTCTCTCGCTCTGTCAGATGGTCCCCGGTCGTGCCCCAGCTCGGCGCGGTCGTGCGATGAATGGAGAGCACTGGTATCCCATGACGTTCCGCGGCGTGCCGGGACAATGTTATTGCCGGCCGGCCTGACTGACAATGACTGGGGGCGGGGCGGGGTATTATCCCCACCGTCCGCACACTATCGGCGAGCAGTCCGGTGATTACGCCCAGTAACACAGCGCCGGGAAATACACCCGGAAATAAGGCCGGTCAGCAGGGCAGCCTAGAACCACAGATTAACACGGCAATACCAGCCGGCCTTTGTTGGGCCACATCGCGGTCTAAATGATCGAATAGACGGGGAGAGATGGAGAAAGAGGGGGAGGATGAGATGAGAGGAAGAGAAAGGAAGAGAAGGGGAAGGAGAGGGGAGGAAGAGGGAGGGGAAGAGAGATAGGGAGGGAGAGAGGGGAAGGGACAGAAGAGGAAGAGGGAGGGGAGGGAGTGAGAGAGGGGGAGAGGGACGATTCGTAAATTTACGAATTCTCTCAACAAATATTCATTTTGCATGGACATAAATGGCATCCAGGAAACAGCATCAGTCGACCCAAACTAGCCAACTGATAGTGCAATCAATAGTTGTAGAAACAAAGGTGACAGGATCTAACTCCACCTACCTACAAAATGTGTTCCACATGACATAGCAGCTCTATTCCTGCATGTGCACCAAACCACCCGAGGGACCCGATTGGGTCACCGCCACGACTATTGGATGATATGGCCCGGATTGAGCGCTGAGCCTTCGGAGTAGACGAGGCGGCCCTCCCGCGGCATCCATTTCACTCTCTGCCGCAGATTACGGCACTGGCAGAATTGGTTCCGCATCAACGCCTCTCAAACATCCAGAAACGTCTATAAAGCTCTCTGGAAAATGAAAGGAATGCCTGAGTGCTCTCTGCTCCATTCCACGAGACAGCTTATAAAATTTATGAGCTGGAGAACCGAGAGAGCTAATTAAAGAATAAACTCATTAGCTGCCACGACAGAAGTGAAAAGATGTACGCGGCGACGAGGAAAATAAGCGCAGCCTGAACGCACCGGCCTTCATATCGCTGTCACGGCTGTCCAGGATAGAGCAAGCAATGGCGAGAGTTAATTGCGGCTGAAGAGAATATTTGTAAGTATGCTTTCATGTTACGGACTTGGCTATTTTATGAGAATAGTGCCTATTGCAACTATGCTGAACCAGAGGCAGTGGCACCAACTTTCTGTACGGAGACTGAGGTGATCAGCAGTCTTCATACACCCGCAGCTGCACCATTCATAGGGCGTTCAGCAGAAAGTGCACATTATCTGACGTGAACATTCTGTAGAAAGTGAAGAGCACATTGACAATCCTAGCAGAAACAATGCCCTTCATCCGGAGTTTTGCGGCAGCAGTCACGGAAACCTTCCGAAATGCCTTGTGATCACCCTCACACCAGCAGCAAAAAAGAGTTTCCGACAAGGACACCCGACATTACCCGAATTGCCGGTCCACGGCCGGCTACAGACCACAGGGAGCAGCCAAAACAACATCAACACAGCTGTAAGCACTATCATCAGTAGCATCCGCGCCGCGGCGAGAGGCAATGTTTTATTCAGAGATGCAGTATACTCGTTACCGACCAAGGCGGAGCTCTGAGAGGCCAGAACCCTGTTAGCAGGCCAGAATACAGCAGCCCACAGGCTCTCCAGAATACAGCTCCGAGATATTAGACTAGTCTCAGCAGTCTGGTATTCAGAACAGAGCCTGTCCGCCCCTGGCTACCGACCACAGGGCCAGGGGTGAAGCCCTGCCACGCCGCTGGGTTAGGGACCGGGTGCCGGTGTTTATACCAGTCGCCCCAGCCAGCTACCGCCTCCCCGGAATACAGCGGCAAAACACGGATATGATCGGTGGCGGCCGCTCCGTTAGCCAAGGATCGATGATACCGGGCTTGAAATTCACCAGTGAGACGGCGAAGCTTTGGATAAAAACAGCTATTCCAGCATTCCCGAGCGACTGAACGGAGTCGGAGTTGGACTCTTGTATTACCAGCCACACCACAAAACACGCACTTACAGGAGTCCGTGACACAGACTCATGTTTCAACTTTCAACACATACAATCTACATGTTTGTTGACGCCGTTGGTGAGCGGCGCTGGAGTTCACACTCACCTCATCTGGGGGCCTCACACTCACGCTGGAGCTCACACTCACCTGTTTGTTGACGCCGTTGGTGAGCGGCGCTGGAGGCTGTGGCGAGCCGTCCGCCGGTGCAGTGGCCCGCCGAAACGAGAGGCGCACCTGGGGCACAGGAGAGGACACCGTCAGAAGAGCGGCCACCGTCAGCACAGGAGAGCGGCCACCGTCAGCACAGGAGAGGGACACAGTCAGAAGAGCGGCCACCGTCAGCACAGTCAGCACAGGAGAGGGACACAGTCAGAAGAGCGGCCACCGTCAGCACAGGAGAGGGAAGCCAACGTCAGCACAGGACAGGGATGCCGTCAGCACACGGGAGCGAGACTGGAGGCCAACGTCAGCACAGTGAGCGCAGGAGAGGGACACAGTCAGAAGAGCGGACACCGTCAGCAGAGTAGCAGTCGGCACAGGAGCGGGGGGGGGGGGGCAACGTCAGCACAGGAGCTGGGGCAAAGTCAGCACAGGAGTGGTCACCATCAGCGCAATCAGCACAGCCTGGTGCTTTATGCGTGTCGTACAAACCAGTGAATTATTCTTACTCCGGAGTGCTTAATGATAAAACTTGTGCAAAGTTACAGCGGCACATGGTGCGCATTGATCATTGTTAGGTATTCTGATTTATTTATCAGCACCGCATTCATACCACATCCTTTTAGCGTTCACATTATCTCTCCCGCTACACAATAATGCAGCCAGACTCCCACAGCCAGCCTCCCACACGCAAACAGCCGGTCAGCGTTCCCCGGCCCCAGGCCCAGCGGCGCGGCTCGGATTCACCCGACCGAGATATACGGGCGAATAACATCTGATTCGCCGAGACCGGAGGCCGAAAAAACAGCCCGCCGGCCGGCCGTCGAAAACAGAGCCGGCCTGTCAGTCGCCGGCGCGGCGCGTCACTGCCCCGAGCCGCGCCGACAGGCCGCCCACCCTTCAGTCCGACCGACCGCCGACAGGCCGGGCGGCCGCCGATTGGAGCACTGAACGTGAGCGATCTACGATATCTGTGGCGTCCACCTGTTCGGAGCTCTGCAGCGGCCGGCGGCGGCCCCGTTCGGCCGCCGGGGCGGTCACGATCGGCACCAGATCAATAGGGCTGTTCTGAGTGCTCACCCCGGCCGGCACACTGACCGCCCAGCCGTCCGGCGCTTCAGGAGCCCGCCTCCCACCCTGACCGATGGCGGAGGCGGCCGGCCTGGCCCCGGCGACGCGTCTCGGTGGGCAGCCGACACCACCTCCGCCGCCTCGGACGGCGGCAGTGCAGAATTCAGATGACGGCCGCGTCGGCTTCTGAGCGGACCGAACGGGACTGGGTGGACGAGTGTTAGGACCAGCCGGGACGGGGTGGTTACTGGTTAGGAGAAAACCGACCGGGAGTGGGTGGACGGGGCCGACGGAGACTGGGTGGTTATATCCGACCGAGCCTGGGTGGTTAGAAGTCAACCAGAACTGGGTGGACGGGACCGACCGAGACTGGGTGGTTATATCCGACCGAGACTGGGTGGTTAGAAGTTGGGACCAACCAGGACTGGATGAACGGGACCACGGCTGGGAGCGAGGCCAGGGCAGGCGGGGGCAGGTGCCTGATGAAGGGGGGGGGGGTTGAAGGGTTGAACACTTGTTACCAGCACTGCAACAGCCTCTTTACCATCGGATGGAGTACACGCTGTAGTAGTACGGTGGAATATCCCGTGGTTGACCGGTGGGATTCGGCTTCGCTTTTCAACGATACGACTTGGAGCTTTAAAGTACATTTAAAACATTGAATGCAAAAACGTTTTGCCCGAGCGCACATCAAATAGAACAGGAATTACTGGAATAGCGCCGAATTAATTATGTAAGAATCACGATGGGGTGGAAGCGTGGCAAAACATGTAATTCTGCACTGGTAGATTAATTTCCTCGATTCTCCGAAGGCGAATTAAGCGCCGAACTTTGTAAATTGCATGGAGCTGCTGAAAAGATGTAATTATTGTATCCCTTTCAATCACTCAACAGCATCCCGAAATTTCGGACCGTACAAAGAGCACACTACCCATCCCCTCGCCCACACCTTTATGTCCACTCAACCTGGACACAAGGGGTCTTCAACAGCGCCGGGTCTTCAACAGGGGTCCTCGACTGGTCTGTTCCAGTCGCACTACCTCTAAACTCCTCCAAGATTGCTTCCCTGTTCCAGTGACAGCTCTAGCACCTACAAACCCAAGGAGGGTCCTGGGTCCTGCTCTAACCTCCTCTATCTTGCTCTTGGAGGAATTTAGAGGTGCTAGGAAGTGCCACTGGAACAGACCCAAGGTCTGGGCTCGCACGAGAGCACCAAAAACCAATAACAACGCAGCGTACATCAAATGCATAGCTACTCGCAGTGCTGGGGAAATATACTGCAACGTGGTTCACAGAGTCTATAATCAGTTTTACCACTCCCATGACAAACAACAAATCCTAATGTTCGTTGACAAAAAGTGGAATATAAATGGATTATGGGCGAGATGAGCCTTAAAGGTAGTGTGCCAGCTTTCCTGGACCATATGGAGTTAATGACCCGGATAAGGAGAACCGGATTTTTAGAACTCATCCATACCTTCAAAACTCATAGAAACGTCTTAAATTCTTCAAATTTTGAGTACCCCAGTGCAAAATTCGCCCCGACGGGTTGTCGGTCGTACCCATTATAGAGTTCAGTGGTCATACCCCAACCACATTTCACACCACTATGAACAATAAATGCACAAACTAAAATCGCTATTACCAATAGGCTCATCCAATCAAGTTTCGATAAACCCGTTCATCATCATCTCCTGTGGTTTCGAACACGCCTGTTAGGTGGCTTCTGATGCTCGTCGAGGTCGGAATTTCCAAATACGCTGCTCATACTTTGTGGTGTGGTGGTGGTGCGTCGGGCCGCGCGCTCTGACTTCGGCCAAGAAAAATGCGTCAGCTGATCATTGTCATTTCTGCCACTTTCGTGTGGTGAAATGGGGTCATAATTTAAGAGACGGCTGTTTAATATCAATTATTTTACATAATACGTGTATCATATTTCAAAACATAAATTAATGCTCGACAGCCAAATTAAAGAAACAATACCAATGCAGGCTTACAGTTTAAGTTCGACATTGTGTTGTCTACGATTAGACAGCTGATAACTCATTCCCGTACGTCGTAACAGGTATATAATGACCTGTGCTTTTTGTCACATGTGCACCGCATTCGCGATTGTTGCCGACGCCTGTTTGCAGGTCAGCCCACTACAGTTGTTATACGTATCGAAAAACCGATAAATTTTTAGGCGAAAAAAGCACTATTCCAGGCCCATTTTTGATTTTTTTGCGATATTAGGTAAACACAGAAGCATCTTATCCTAGGAAAAATAAAATGGGAAATCTTTGAAAGGTGGTACACTACCTTTAAGACATTCTGTTGAGCTCTGGGCCGTTGGTTCTTTCAGTGAATTTTATTTTCCGACAACTCCCTTCAATGATGGCAGTTGCGCTCTGCCATCCTGACCTATTCACAATGCATGAGGCAATAAGGAACGGCACACTTCGATAAAACGCGGTCCATCGCGCTGACCGGTCAAAAAGCATAGGCAGTAACTTTAATACTCGTATGGACCATTGATTGATCTTCCGCTCTGCCGAACGCTCTCAAAACAAGGCCGGCGCTAACTTTGGAGCGGGGCGTAACTTCGGTGATGAAGAAGTTGGTGTCACCTAGCGCCGCTGAGCGTCCCAGCCGCACTCACGGCGCCACTTCGACGATCGGATGACCGGTGTCTGATACATATCTGTCACATCTAGAAATTTTCGCGCGGCTTTAAAAAATTAATAATAATAAAATCGTCGAGCCTTGACAGCATACATAGTGCTGGTAAAATAGATGACAAATGGGCATTCAATAACAATATGTTTAGGAAATTTTGTTTCCGCGACAGTTCAGTTCACGCGTCTTTGATGCAGCTTTTGCCCTTTGAAGTTAATTATAGCTGTCTGCGGCAAACTGATCAGAAATGTAAAACACCAGACACAACATGCCTCCAAGTACCTATCTCACAAGGCCAGCAGCTGGGAGTGACAAGGTCCCGGTAATCGCTGCAGTGTAGTCGTGATGCGTCAGGTTTATTTGCCGCGGAGGTTGGTGCTCAATAGCTACGGACACTTATTCGGATACTACATACATCTCTATAATACATCTCTAAGACGGTTACACAGGCCATCCATAACGAATCAGGAGATGCAGCTCATGTAAGCTGCTCATTGCCCAGCATGATACCGCCAGCATGACCAATAGCAGTGATTATGATAATAAGAGGCCATCAGAGAACAAAGAAAGAACAATGAATACATGCAAGCCGAGATAAAGGGCATCATAACGATCCCACTCATAAATCATTGTCTCGTTCCACCATCGTCTCAGCAAACGACCGCAGCACACCAAACAAGAGATCAATAAATTAGGCAAACAGCTGGCTCAATGGGCCCAAAGAGGCGACACTCTGCTAAAACGAGCCAAAATCGATGCTACCAAAGCCCGGCAAAGCGTGCGCAACATCGACAATGGATGGCGCGTTTCGTCGAGGACCGCCGGGCCGGGAGCGGTCGTGCACCCCATTCTAAGAATACATTTTCGCGCTCGGAAACCCGCGAACAAATAGCGCCTGAGCAAACAGTATTTCCATGCAGAGCTATTAACTAGGCGGAACCGTACCGGCGCTGCAGCTCACCGCCGGGTAGATTGAGTCTAAATCCCAAGTTGGCCTGATTACGGCATAATTAGGAATGGAGCATATGCAATCACATTTTACCCAATGTGTCATGCCATGTGTCATGATCATAAAAATCGCTCACAGTGTGAAGACGAGGACGCGAACTGACGAGTGATTTGCAATGTCGGTCCATGTGCTTTACTTCACTGGCCAGCGGCCAATCCAACCTCACCCGATCTTATCGGCAATCACCAAAATTTCGATCGATGTCAGAACTCGCACTGATGTTGGTTATCTTTACATTTATGTACAAGTTTATTATCACATTGTATATGAGCAATTGCTTTTATGCTGTTAACTCCTATAAAATTATAACGCAGCTTCTAAATTACTTCCGGCTTCGATTTTCAAGTCCGTTTAACAATGTTCAAATATTGCGACCTCCCAGTTATAAGGGTCTGAACTGAATATAACAACGCCTAAGCCCCTTTCAAGCCTTATCGAAGACCCATGTGTTCTGTGGACAGTTCCAGTGTTTTATCGGGTCGCTCCGGTAAAACCGGAGTAAGAAAACCGGCTCCGGTAATGAGCATGCGAATTAAAACGTAAATAATCAGGCATTAAACAGCTACAACATCCGAGCAAAACTAAACTAACGGAAAGGATAATAAAAGTAGAGCTTGTTACGAGCTTTAAACCTTGTTAAGAGCTTAAAGGCTTACTTTGGCTAAGAGCTTGAATACTTACCAAATGTCAATAAAGTAGGGCGATGATAACTCTCACAAGGATCCGCTCTCTTCAGTGGACAAAACAAACTTAATTTATACAAAATTTGTGTCTTTTGAGCGCTAAGCACTGCACACACACCCCAATGAAACAACAGAACAAAAATGGACAAAAAATGTGCCTATCTTTAACAATCTATGGACGCTTTTCTCAAGGAAACGGACCGTTCCACGTAAAATAATCTGTTCCGTAGTAGGCTTGGCTAGCTTGGTGGTCAAGTTAAGAGATTATAGAAGAAGTCATTTATATTGAGCGAAACTGTTCCTTCAAATGATGCAAAGAATACGGGATAGAACCAGAGCTCGTCATTTGCATGTTCAGAACTCGTACGGAATCATTTCCAACGCTGGGTTTGTAACGCAATGGCACAAATCACATGAACCATCCTCGTGTGAGTCGGAGGCAATTTCTGAGTTCCCGATGGCCAGTTGATTAGTCTAAGAGGCGGGGGAGGCTCGATTCTAGTGACGGCGATTCCGCCATCACGCCAGTTCGGCATTCGACCCCAGTGTGCACTAGTGGAGGCCTTCCCCGCCCGGCACTCTACCCGGCCCCAGCGCCGACCTCTGGGCTGTTGCCGCGCGCTGGATGTCCCGGTCGCCATCAGTGCAGCTCGCTAGTTCGGTGAGGTGGCAGCCGCTGACCTGTGGCGCCCGCCGACCTGTGGCGCCCGCCGCTCCGAGTTGTGCTAAATGTCAGTGGCAGGCGCGGATACAAGGGGGGGGGGGGCCATGGGGGCCATGGCCCCCCCCCTTGGCCCATTTTTTTCAAAAATAAAATAAAAAGTTAAAAAGTTAAAAAGCTGAAAAGGGGGCCTCCTGAAAATAAAGTGGCCGAAATCCGATGAGTTTTTTTTTTAACCTACCCACTTAGTTATTTCTTAGAAGACTAGCTGAGAAGACTTCTTTGTTAGAAGATTGGTAAAGCTTTTCATAACTTGGAGATCTCTTATACTCACAGAGATGACCACTTTTACAGGGCCTCCTAACCTGCACAGAGGGCCTCCAAGCCTGCACAGATGTTGAGATGTTGCCTGAACAGCTAGATAAGCTCAATAGACGCAGTTTTTTTGTGGGGGGGCCCAACAAGTGGGAAGATGGGGCCTCCAACAGGTGGTATTATGGGGGGGGGGCCTCCTGGTTTCTAATGGCCCCTCCCTTGGAGATTTTCTGGATCCGCCCCTGGTCAGTGGCCGCCCCGGCCCCAGGGAGTGCGACCTCTCTGAGCCGCGCTGAATTGTCCGCGGCCGCTCCGGCCCCAGGGAGCGCCTGGCCGGCGCCGGGCGCGGCCAGCGGCACCCCTGGCACCGATCACCGCCGGCCGGCCGGCGCCGCCGCGCGAACGACGGCAGTGGATAACGCGCCGGACCGCCGCCTCCAGGTCAAACGGCCCCCGCGGGCGGCACAGAGCGCCAGAGCAACGGTCACTGAGCGAGCCGCGCCGGGCCCAATGGTCAGTGAGCGAGCCGCGCCGGGCCCAATGGTCACTGAACTGGGGCCGCGCCGCTGTCACTGAACACTGAACAGGGCCACGCCATGGTCATTGAACGGTGCCCGGCCCTACACCGGCCCCTACGGTCCCTGAACACTGAACAGGGCCGCGAAAGGCGCAATGGTCACTGAACACGGCAAGGCCCTTCGCCGGTCACTGAACGAAGCCGTAGCGGGTACATACGTCTTCGGCGAACGGGCGGTTAACTGTATTGGGCTGGCCGATACTTCCAGTTCCAATCATGATTCATGGTATTAGTTCTCGCTCAGAGAAGTAGCGAAACTATATCCACAGCTATATTATTGGCACGAATTTCTTGCGTTATTTATCAAGGCAATCTCCGCCCATTCCAATTCATGAGGCTATGGTGCACAAGAACGTCATAATAGTCGTCTTGAGGATATTACTGCTTGGCTCGATTCTAAAAAAAAAAAACATCCAACGCGGTTTGTTGCACGGCGCTCCAGTCCTGCACCCATCACCTCTCGCCCACTTCAGATGGCGTCTGCCGCCTTCCCACCCGCACAGCGAAGGTAGGATCGCGTGTCTGGGCCCCACCGATCAGCGGGGCGCGCGTCGACAGCCGGGCCGTTACCGGCTCAGAGTCAACAGGTCACAGCGGTCGGCGGTCAGCGCAGGGGTGTGGAGCCGCACCACCGAGCGGCGTGCTGACTCCTACAGTGGGCAGGTGCCGGGGACCTGACCGCACCGACCCCCACTGGGCGAGTGCCGGGGATCTGACCGTGCCCACCCCCAGCGGGCGGGTACCGGGGAGCTAACCGTGCTGACCCCCAGCGGGCGGGAGCTCTGACCCTGCCCACTCCCAGTGGGCGGGTGGCGGAGATGTGACCGCGCCCACCCCCAGCGGGCAGGTACCGGAGCTCTGGACCCGCCACCCCCCCCCCCCCTACCCCGGTGTGCAGTACCGGGCTCTGACTCTGTCAAGGCTGAAGCCCCAGTGGGCGGGTACCGGGCTCTGATCTGGCGATGAGCGCCGGCAAATTTAGCGCCGGGATGATCATCACGCCGCGATGGGATCGGCCGCCATAACACACCAACTCTCGGTCAGCACGCACGACTCTGGGCGGGAGGCTGCACCGAGCCGCGGCGCCCGGTGTGCCGGGGTCAACAGGGTCACGGGGGTCAGTTAGGTCACCGGGGTCAGCGTGGGGCCGGTCGATGCCACCCGCTGCAGTCCCCAGCGGCGCCGTTCGTCTCGCTGAACCAGCCAACATCGCGGATGGCACCACTATCATGTGTTAGCATGCAATCAGATTTCAAAGACTCCCCATGCCAAGCCATCTAAGCACTCCAACGCATACGAAAACACGTAAAATGAGCGTGCCGCGGAAAAACAGCTGCGCCATTTCCAAACCACATCAACGTACGAGTCCCGGGAGCATAACAGCCGCCAGCCGGCATAAGGATCACCCACAAAAACAGCCTCGGGGCGGCACCGGCCCGCGCCGTTTCGCCGCGCACGCCAGCACGGCGCAAACTATGAGGCATGGCCGGCGAGTCCGTATCTCAGAGGCGCCAGAAGGCCGCTTTTACCACGCCTCGGCCGTCCATACGAGCTCGCCGGCGGACACAATAAATCGCCCCGGGCGTCCCCGGAGGCGGTGCCGGGGCAGGCGATGTCACCCCTCTCCCCGGCGGTGACTCCCCGGGGGCGAAAGACGATCTGAGTGACACGGGAAGGGTGCTGCTGCTTACCTTTCCGGACCTCGGCAGGGCGGCCAGCACAGTCTGCAGACTGTCGACGGTCACCGGCGCCCCGTTCACCCGCTCCAGCCGGTCACCTGCGGTAATAGAGAGGGGTGTTACAAGGGGGTCACACCACCCGCTCCAGCCGGTCACCTGCAGTAGAGGAGAGGGGCGTTACAAGGGGGTCAACACTGTCAGGACTTTGCCGTTAGCAGTCGGTACACACTGTCCGGACAGGACAGGGGCATTACCACTGGGTTCACAGAGTCCGCAGTCAGGGGAGTTACCAGTAGGCTCACACAGCCCCGTTACCTGCGGCCAAGGACAGGGACGATAGCGTGTTAAAAGGTTCAAAACGGCCGAAAACAGGCGCAGTGTTCGAACAGGACTATAGCAGAGAAACCAAGCGGACTTAACAAATGAATAGGTAAGAAAACATTTCATCATTTAATGCACATGCTTCATTCCGCTGATTACTCTGACGATTCACTTGGAAAGGCACACAATGCCACTAAAGGCCGCCGTCCACTGCGACGGAATTCCGTCCGGAGTCCGTCCGGAATGTCGCCGCACGCTGACCGCATCCGGACCGCAGACGGAAAGCTCACGGACACTTTGCTAACACTTTGTGAAGAGCAATTATCAGTTATTGCAAAAAAAAGCAATTTACTAGCATAACATAGTGCTGCCATGTCAAGGAATATTGTTTACTTACTTCATCTTGAAAGAGTTGAAATTATTTCTTAAATTTGCAATTGAAAACTCGAAGACGGAAGACTGCACCTGTCCGCGTCCGTTCCGCCTGCGTTCTCCGCACAAAAGTTCAACATGTCGGACTTTGTTATTTCGTTTCCGTAGCAACCGCTTCCAAAACGCTTGCGGAGAGCTGACGGAAAATCAACAGCTGATTGCCGTTCGGATGCGGTCCGCACGGAACGCACACGATTTCCGTACGGACCGGATGCGCCCATAGGGTTCTGTGTTAAATTCCGTACGGACCGCACGCGTTCCGCACAGTGGACGGCGGCCTTAAGACAAATGGAAATCATTCTGCGGACGGTGTATGTCCTGAGTGTTTGAAGTGAAGCGCCTGACACGAAGCTCGTTTCAAGTTTCCACTTCGCTTTGAAGCAATTTGTATTCTTGGGTAAACATCAAAGCGAGGCTCAGCATTACCGTCAACATTTACATTCAGAAACAATGATTCGTTCTTCTTTGAACAGCAAAAGAAAACACTGTAGGCTCGCGAAGAGTATTATAAAGTGGATTAAGTGCAACTGCGGACAAAGTTGAAACGATAACAATACGCATATAAAAGTATAAAACTCTCGAGAGGCGGCGCGGCAAGTGTCTGGTAATCCACCCGCTGCAGGTCTGTCGTCTTCAGCTATCCGTCAGCGGCGACACAGTTCCCCTTTAGGCGGCGGGGCGAGCCCTCGACACCATCTCCGGATGCACCGACCCTCTGCCAGCGGCGGCACCAGCACTGACCAAACACCGTCCAATGTCCATCGAGAGGCTATAGGCCCCCGGACGGAGGACAGCCCGCGGGAAACAGTAGAACCAGGGCGTGTTTACAGCGCACAGCGACAGGCCGCATAGGCGTTACGCCCCCCTCATCATCATCATCATCATCACACGTCTGTCAAGACAGCCTCAGATTCAGATTCACTTTCAGAATCACATTCGGAACCCCTTAGATTTTCATAAAAACTGGTCCATGGGTACAGTTTTGGACGCTGATTCCAATGGTGAAGTCTGTTCTTCGCCACATATTATACTTTGGCCCCTAGAGGCATTCAAAGTTTTTTGGGGGGAAGGGAGACCCCCTTAGATTTTCATAAAAACTGGTCCATGTGTATAGTTTAGGACGCTAATTCCAATGGTGAAGTCTGTTTTTCGCCACATATTATACTTTGGCCCCTAGAGGCATTCAAAGTTTTTTTAGGGGAAGGGGGAACCCCTTAGATTTTCATAAAAACTGGTCCATGTGTACAGTTTTAGACGCTGATTCCAATGGTGAAGTCTGTTTTTTCGCCACATATTATACTTTGGCCCCTAGAGGCATTCAAAGTTTTTTTTGGGGGAAGGGGGACCCCCTTAGATTTTCATAAAAACTGGTCCATGGGTACAGTTTTGGACGTTGATTACAATGGTGAAGTCTGTTTTTCGCCACATATTATACTTTGGCCCCTAGAGGCATTCAAAGTTTTTTTGGGGGAAGGGGGACCCCCTTAGATTTTTATAAAAACTAGTCCATGTGTACAGTTTTGGACGCTGATTCCAATGGTAAAGTCTGTTGACTGTTCTTCGCCACATATTATACTTTGGCCCCTAGAGGCATCCAAAGTTTTTTAAGGGGAAGGGGGACCCCCTTAGATTTTCATAAAAACTGGTCCATGTGTACAGTTTCGGACGCTGATTCCAATGGTGAAGTCTGTTTTTCGCCACATATTATACTTTGGCCCCTAAAGGGCTTTCAAAGTTTTTTTTTAGGGGAAGGGGGACCCCCTTAGATTTTCATAAAAACTGGTCCATGTGTACAGTTTTGGACGCTGATTCCAATGGTGAAGTCTGTTTTTCGCCACATATTATACTTTGGCCCCTAGAGGCATTGAAAGTTTTTTTGGGGGAAGGGGGACCCCCTTAGATTTTCATAAAAACGTGTCAATGGGTACAGTTTTGGACGCTGATTCCAATGGTGAAGTCTGTTTTTCGCCACATATTATACTTTGGCCCCTAGAGGCATTCAAAGTTTTTTTGGGGAAGGGGGACCCCCTTAGATTTTCATAAAAACTGGTCCATGTGTACAGTTTCGGACGCTGATTCCAATGGTGATGTCTGTTTTTCGCCACATATTATACTTTGGCCCCTAGAGGCATCCAAAGTTTTTTAAGGGGAAGGGGGACCCCCTTAGATTTTCATAAAAAACTGGTCCATGGGTACAGTTTTGGACGCTGATTCCAATGGTGAAGTCTGTTCTTCGCCACATATTATACTTTGGCCCCTAGAGGCATCCAAAGTTTTTTAAGGGGAAGGGGGCCCCCTTAGATTTTCATAAAAACTGGTCCATGGGTACAGTTTTGAACGCTGATTCCAATGGTGAAGTCTGTTTTTCGCCACATATTATACTTTGGCCCCTAGAGGCATTCAAAGTTTTTTGGGGAAGGGGGACCCCTTAGATTTTTATAAAAACCCAAAAAAACTTTGAATTCCTCTAGGGGCCAAAGTATAATATGTGGCGAAAAACAGACTTCACCATTGGAATCAGCGTCCAAAACTGTACCCATGGACCAGTTTTTATGAAAATCTAAGGGGGCCCCCTTCGCCCCAAAAAACTTTGAATGCCTCTAGGGGCCAAAGTATAATATGTGGCGAAAAACAGACTTCACCGTTGGAATCAGCGTCCAAATCTGTACACATGGACCAGTTTTTATGAAAATCTAAGGGGTCCCCCTTCGCCCCAAAAAAACTTTGAATGCCTCTAGGGGCCAAAGTATAATATGTGGCGAAAAACAGACTTCACCGTTGGAATCAGCGTCCAAAACTGTACACATGGACCAGTTTTTATGAAAATCTAAGGGGGTTCCCCTTCGCCCCAAAAAATTTGAATGCCTCTAGGGGCCAAAGTATAATATGTGGCGAAAAACAGACTTAACCACTGGAATCAGCGTCCAAAACTGTACACATGGACCAGTTTTTATGAAAATCTAAGGGGGTCCCCCTTCACCCCAAAAAACTTTGAATGCCTCTAGGGGCTTAAGTATAATATGTGGCGAAAAACAGACTTCACCGTTGGAATCAGCGTCCAAAACTGTACACATGGACCAGTTTTTATGAAAATCTAAGGGGGTCCCCCTTCGCCCAAAAAAAAAATGTATAATATGTGGCGAAAAACAGACTTCACCGTTGGAATCAGCGTCCAAAACTGTACACATGGACCAGTTTTTATGAAAATCTAAGGGGTCCCCCTTCGCCCCCAAAACTTTGAATGCCTCTAGGGGCCAAAGTATAATATGTCGCGAAAAACAGACCTCACCATTGGAATCAGCGTCCAAAACTGTACACATGGACCAGTTTTTATGAAAATCTAAGGGGATCCCCCTTCCCCAAAAAACTTTTAATGCCTCTAGGGGCCAAAGTATAACATGTGGCGAAAAACAGACTTCACCGTTGGAATCAGCGTCCAAAACTGTATACATGGACCAGTTTTTATGAAAATCTAAGGGGTCCCCCTTCGCCCCAAAAAACTTTGAATGCCTCTAGGGGCCAAAGTATAATATGTGGCGAAAAACAGACTTCACCGTTGGAATCAGCGTCCAAAACTGTACACATGGACCAGTTTTTATGAAAATCTAAGGGGGTCCCCCTTCGCCCAAAAAAAATTTGAATGCCTCTAGGGGCCAAAGTATAATATGTGGCGAAAAACAGACTTCACCATTGGAATCAGCGTCCAAAACTGTACCCATGGACCAGTTTTTATGAAAATCTAAGGGGGTCCCCCTTCGCCCCCAAAAACTTTGAATGCCTCTAGGGGCCAAAGTATAATATGTGGCGAAAAACAGACTTCTTCATTGGAATCAGCGTCTAAAACTGTACACATGGACCAGTTTTATGAAAATCTAAGGGGGTCCCCCTTCCCCCAAAAACTTTGAATGGCTCTAGGGGCCAAAGTATAACATGTGGCGAAAAACAGACTTCACCGTTGGAATCAGCGTCCAAAACTGTACACATGGACCAGTTTTTATGAAAATCTAAGGGGGTCCCCCTTCGCCCAAAAAATTTTTGAATGCCCCTAGGGGCCAAAGTATAATATGTGGCGAAAAACAGACTTCACCGTTGGAATCAGCGTCCAAAACTGTACACATGGACCAGTTTTTATGAAAATCTAAGGGGTCCCCCTTCGCCCCAAAAAACTTTGAATGCCTCTAGGGGCCAAAGTATAATATGTGGCGAAAAACAGACCTCACCATTGGAATCAGCGTCCAAAACTGTACACATGGACCAGTTTTTATGAAAATCTAAGGGGATCCCCCTTCCCCAAAAAACTTTTGATGCCTCTAGGGGCCAAAGTATAATATGTGGCGAAAAACAG